GCATTTTCCAGGGGGCTTCCCGAGAAAGATTGTATTAGAGAGAAAGAGAGTCTAGTTGGTGTGGCTCAGTGATTGAGCATTGACTCATGCACCAGGAGGTTGCTGGTTCGATTCCTGGTCGGGGCACATGCCCAGGTTGTGGACCCAATCCCCAGTGGGGGGCATGCAGGAGGCGGCCAGTCGATGTTCTCTCTCATCGATGTTTTTCTCCCTCTCTCCCTCTCCCTTCCTCTCTCTAAAATCAATAAAGGAATTAAAATTTTTTTTAAATATATAGCCCTGGCCAGTTTGGCTCAGCGGTTAGAGCATTGGCCTGCGGTCCGGAGAGACCCGGGTTTGGTTCCTGCTAAGGGCACGTACCTCGGTTGCAGTTTGTCCCCAGCCCAGGTTGGGTTGTGCGGGTGGCAGCCACTCAATGTGTCCCTTTCACATCGATGTTTCTCTCTCTCTCTCTGTCTCCTTTCCACTCTATCTGAACAAAAAATGTCCTCGGGAGAGGATAAATATATATATATATAGAGAGAGAGAGAGAGAGAGAGAGACCTTGCCCTTGCATGTAGAAAGTATTTTCTCTTCATATTTGATTAATATTTTGTTTGTTTTTGGTGAAAAATAATATTTCTTCAAACTTTTGGAGGCATTTTTATTTTTATTTTTTTTATCCTCCCCTGAGGACATTTCTCCATTTTTTGTACAGATAGAGTGGGAGGAAGAGAGAGGAAGAGAGAGAGAGGGAAACATTGATGTGAAAGGGACACATCGAGTGGCTGCCACCTGCACGACCCAACCAGGGCCGGGGACAAACTGCAACCGAGGTACGTGTCCTTAGCGGGAACCGAACCCGGGTCTCTCCGGACCGCAGGCGGACGCTCCAACTGCTGAGCTAAACCGGCCAGGGCTGGAGGCATTTTTAAACGCCTTCTATCTCCTGGTGCTGTATGAAGTCTGTTGTGCTATGTGCCGCTCCTTTGTGAAGTCCTGTTTCTGTATTTCCAGAACCTTCCTTTACTCATAGCATTCTGAATCGTGAACTTTGCGGGCTGTGCTTTTCATCTATTGTTCTGGCACTTGGTGGACCCTTTCCGTCCGAGAAAAGACCATGTGTTTAATTGTTTTGTTATTGATTTCCTATCCTTTGTTTTCTCTGCGTTCTCTCTCCCTGGACCTTCTGTTGTTTGGATGTCTGACTCGGGTCCTCTTGTTTTCCTGCAGTGTCCTGTTCTTACTGCACAGGTGCGGCAGCTTTCCTGTGCCATCCTCTGAGGACGTTAATGTTTTCTTGTTTTTTAATGTTCTCTCCACTCTCCATACTTTCTGTTTCGTTTGAGTTCTTCTTCTTGTTCTTCTTTTTTCTGTTTGTTGTGATTTCTAACTTTCTTATTTGAGACTTTCTTGGGCAAATCTAATCTCTGGTTGATGCCCATGGTTTAGTGTGGGGAATATTGGAGGCGCTGAGCTTCACTGCGGGTTTGTCTGTCTGGACCATTTGCTGGGAAATGCCAAGATCTTTCCTCCCAAGCTTCCCCCAAACACATCTCCCAATATTTGACCTAGAGCGTGAAGTCTGGCTGCCAGCTTTCTCGGGACCGAGTGCAGGAAGGGGGCCGGGAGTCGCAGCGTTCAGTACTTAGTATGTATCAGCCATTTAATCGCCTGCCTTTGGGACAGTATCTATGGCCTCAACTGCACTAAATGTCCTCTATTTTATCCTCCCCAGAAAATAAACCTGCAGCCATCTACTAAGGAGGGGAAGAATATCCCCTATTGGAGTAGAACAGGGAAGGGGGTCTAGGGATTTCATTGTTTCCCAACAGGGTTTTCCACACTCCTTCCCTCCCACTTCCATGCAGATCTTAGCTGCCGGTTCCCGAGCCTTCCGAGGGTTCTTTGGTTGGTCCTTCACGCTCCCTTCTCCGGGATTAGCTTTCAGCTTTCTACAATGTTTTCAGTTACCATTCATCCGACTGCTTTCAGATTCCAAGTGTGTTCATCTCTTTTTCTATTCTCTCTGACCATGTAGGTTGTTTGCTTTCTAGTGTGTGTGTGTGTGTTGTTAATCTCTCTGTGTAGTTCTAGTCAGGCTGGAGGAGGGGGTGAGGTCCGGCGGGTTTGTTCAGCCCACCGTCTTCATTCGGAAGCCTGTCAGACACTCTCCGCAGCTGGCTTCAGGGACACTGTTCTCCTGAGTCTTCGTTTACTCGATGCTCAATCCCGTCTCTTGCTGGGTCCCCTCCGCTTTCTGACCTCTACAGGTTCCAAGGCCTCTGGACTTTGACCTCCTCTTTTCCTGTATTCACTTCTTAGGTGGCTTCCTCTAGTCCTAGGGCTCTAAGTACTATCCATGTGTTCTGCTTGCCCACTTTACATGTCCAGCTGGTCCTTCTTCCGAGTTCAGAAGTGCCTCCTGAGAGTCTTCCCCTGGATGTCCCCGAAGCATCTTCGTTGATCCACCCTCCCCCACCCCAACCAGATCCCCCCACAGCATTCTCCTCAAACTAACCCTCATGTCATTTCTTGTTTTCTCTCCTTTTCTCATGCCAGTCCCCCAGAAAATCCTGAAGAGTCTGTTTTTAAAACATAGGCCTAAATCTGCCCACATCTCCTCACTGAACCACTTTGTGTGATGTAGGGAAGCAGAGAGCTTTCTGGAACACTCTGTATAAGAGAGCACCCCTTGCCCTGGCCGGTTTGGCTCAGCGGTTAGAGCGTCGGCCCGCAAACCAGAGAGTCCTGGGTTCGGTTCCCGCTAAGGGCACGTACCTCGGTTGCAGTTTGCCCCGGCCCCATGGGGTTGTGTAGGTGGCAGCCAGTTGATGTGTCTCTCTCACATCGATGTTTCTCTCTCTCTTCCTCCCTCTCTCCTTCCCACTCTATATAAATACAAAAATGTCCTTGGGTGAGGATCAAAAAAACAACAACAAGCGAGCACCCCTTCCAGGACAGCACCTTCTGTACAGAAGTGTATGTCCAACACCATGTAATCGATTCCATGTTCTCCCTTCCCATGTTTGTGAGTCCCTTCTCCAGCAGTGACAAACCTGGCTCCTATCATCATCAGCCAAAAAGAATCTTAGAGGCTGTCTCGGCCGGTGCCTCAGCTGGTTGGAGTGTAAATGTTGTCGGTTTGACACTGGGTTTGACTCTGGCACATACATAGGTTGCAGGTTCAATTCCCAGTTGGGGCACATACGGGAGGCAACTGATTGATATTTCTCTCTCATATTGATGTTTTTTTTCTCTATATATACCCCTCCCTCTCTCTCTAAAATCAATAAAAATATATCCCTGGGTGAGGATTGTTTTAAAAAGAAAAAAAAAAAAGAATCTTCGTGGTAGAGTCTGAGGCCCCCTGGCATTTCAGAGAAGAAATGGGGCTCTGGCAGGTGTGGCTCCGATGGTGGGCTGTCCTGTGCACCCACTGGAAGGTCACCGGTTCAGTCCCGGTCGGGGCACATACCCAGGCTGTTGGTTCGAGCCCCGGCTGGGGTGGGTTTCACACTTGGGAATTGTGTAATAAATAGGCGTGCTCAGCCTCAGGGGAGCATTGATGATATGCTATTATAATTTAGTTTTAAATGTTCCTTTTAAATAATTTCTATTGGGAAATGTTCTTAGAGACTAAAGTTGCCTGGGATTGATAACCTTCTACTCATAGTTAATTTATTAAATAATCAACATGTATTCCATTTTTCTGAACAAAAAGTGGAGGCTGGGGAAAAGTATTTCCCCCAGAATGTTCCTGTCTTAGTTCCGTTTTTCTAGACAGGTGAGTTTTTCTAGCATCTGTGCCTATATGCCACTAGAACAAGAAGGAGAATTTAGAGAGAAGCTACTCGAAGCCCAGGGACATAGTTCTGGTGTAGAAATGTCCCAACTGGTCTTCCTGGAAGTGGCCTCTTCCACATTGTCCCACTGTTCAAGCCTCCCCTTATCTGCTTGAAAGGATTTCCTCAACATCTGGTCTGCGACAACAGTGACCTTGTAGCCCCTCCCAGAGGCTGGAAGTGAGTTTTTTTTTTTTTTTTGTCACCTTAACACAACTTCTCAAGAGTTTCCTCCCTGGCTTACTTCTGAGTTCTGGCTGAGGACCACAACAACATTGTTTAATGTCTGGTTCGAAACAACACAGTCCAGCTGGTGGGCGGAGGTCTCTGAAAATAACTGTACACTCTTTGGAGTCCATTTCATTCATTGCCTAGTTTAAAAAAATTCTTCCCAGGAAGTGCTTTTTTTTCTAATTCATTCAAAGGACCGGCTGGGGCTGTTCGTGGCCTGGTCATAGAAGTTTAACATCAGAGAAGAAGTGCTGGGAACAGGGGCATCATGTTTAGATGCTGCAAGAGGACACGCGGACAGATGAGGTGGTGACGCTAGCTACCAGGGAGGAGCAGTGTGGGGGGAGAACCAGGCTGCCTGTGTGGGTTTTTAATTATTGTTAACATTTGTTACATGGTGTGCAATGTAAACCGCTTCCCTGTCTTCAGCAATATCTTCATTACCTTAAAAAAAAATCCTGCCTAGAGAGCCTCGAGAAACATTGTACCCACACATAGGAGAGGAGTTGTGCTGCAAGGCCATTAGTATGGGGCTACTTGAAAAAACAAACAGCGTATTTTATGCTATATATTGACTAACTTTCCAGCAACACAAAGCTTCTTATAGAAAAGGAGTTCAAGCTACCAGGCAGTTCCCAGAGGTGTCACAGTATCTGAGGTTGGTGGTCATAAGTACCTGCTGAAGTCCCCGTGCATCTTCATGGGCACTCCCTGCAGGAGTAGATGATGGTGTTGTTAGCTTGCTGTCCCTAGAGCTCAGCAGTGTGCTGGTCACGTGTTCTTGACACTTGGGACCTCTGCAATGACATTTCGATGAGTTAGATGACTCTGTGTGCGACCTAGGATATTTCACTATTTAAGCCTTAGTTTACTTTTTTCTTTCTTGAGCTGAATTCCATGGCAACACTAAGGAATGTGTTTGTGCTGCTTCTTTATTTTCACTAGGGTACCAGAACATCTCGTGAAGAGCATAACTTGGCAGACATTGCAAGCTGTAAATTTTTGCCATAAACACAATGTAAGTCTCATGATCTCCCTTAAAAAATCAGAAGGCTGCCGTTAAGCAGAGGTGGAGCCTTTGTTCAACGTTTATATCATGCTTTTGTAGATATCATTTTTCATCCAAATCTTCTTAAGCTTGGTTGGGGTAAGTTGAGGCTAAAAATGCCAACCTAACTCTTCCTTCTTGTTCAGGTCACCTAAAAGACGAGCTTTTATTATTTATACTCATCAGAAGCTATTCAGATTTAAGGTAGCATCGCACCACTTGGAGTGTGTATGGGTCTGCTGCCTTCCGAAGGCTCTGAGCCTGGGGAGGGGACCCCCCCTGCCTCCTGCCTGTTCAGCGGCAGTAGGTGGCGTCCCAAGCACAATGCCCAGTGCTAGTGTCTGCTTTGCTGAGATGTGAGTGCCAGGTCTGGAACGAACCAGCCCAGTGGAAGCCTGGGACAGCCCCGGCCACAGCAAGGCCTGGCAGAGGCGGCGGACCCAGCTGGTGTGACCTCACAGGTGCTGGGAAGCCTGCTGCCCCCTCCAACACAGCACTGCCCACTCCCTGCACACAGAAGCCACATGCCACTGTTAGAGCTTCATTTTGGCCACAGGGGCAATCTGAGTGCACTATGTCAGTGTATCGGCGGCCAGGATCAATTTAGCTGGTGGGCCTGAATCCTCATTTGTAAGCTGTTCTAAATGATTTTCCCTGATGCTGCCTTTCCCAAAGGGGGAAATGTGATGGTAGTCAGAACTTTTCCCTACTGAGTCTCCACCTTGCTGAAGGCCACAGTCCTTGTCAAAATGCAAGGAGCATGGACACCTTATATTGCTATTTACCACAGGTGAGGGTTAGCACTTTCCTGAGGATGAGAGAGCAAGAGAGACTGCAAAAAGGGCCTGGTGGGGACAATCGGGGACACTAAAGATAACTGCGTACCACAGTTCCCTGGGGAGCCCCTGGCCTCTCTGTTTGGCCACATGTGCTGATGGGGGGAGGGTGTAGAAACTTGTAAAGAATTCCCAGAACAGAATAGGAGCACATTCTTGCTTACAAGTCCTGCTGACCATCTGTCATCATGATATCCATGGGTGTAGCCATTTATAGTAACATGTGAAGCCAGTGGTAAAAAAGAGGAGATCTCAGGGCCATTAATTGCTGAGAACCAGAGAGATTGTAATAAAATAATTCAGAAATTGTCTCCCAAGATTTTTTCCAGAGTAATTAATACCCTTTTGGGGAAACACTGACACTGATCTCTCACCCTGAAAGTCCTCTGGAGTGAGTACTAGGCCAGGCCCAAGAAGAACCTCTGTCCTCTTTCCAAATTCTAGAAAGTCAAGAATAGCCCAGGGTTTTAGCTGCAAGCCATAGAGGGTCTCTCATTGCAGAAGGATCCAACAGTCTTCTCCAGAGAGAAAAAGGCTTGGAAGAAGGGAGGATTATTAGATACCCTGAAAAGTATTTTAACCCAACTGTTTTTATGCAGTTGTTAATTAGGTTGTTGATTTGTTCTTTGCCAAGAAAAGTATTTAATAAGAAAATCATGTGAAAATTCTTAGTCTTCTAACATCTCCCTGTAAAACAATGTCAGCTGTGGCTGGGAAACCCCAGGTGATTCGAGTCTAAACTGTGGCGTGGCTGTGGCGCTCAGAACACTGGTGTGTGGGACGGAGCTGACATCTAGTGACTCTCTCCAAAGGCTGAGCGCGGCCTACTCTTGTTTATCTCGTCGGGACAAATGTCAGAGCTGGAAGGGAGGTCTCTCAGCAAGCTCGGGTCCGCCCTTCTCTTCCCCAGCTTATCTCAGCAGGCCCAGGGCTCGTCCTGTTCTGTTGTTAAACAACTGAATCGTGATCCTGCTTGTGGACCAACTTGCTGCGTCAGCGCTCGTGGAGGAGGCCTCAGCCAGAGCCTGTGGACATTCCCCCTTCCCCTGGGGCTGCCAGGTTACACACATGCCAAATACTACATGAGACACACTGACACGAAAAAAATCGTTTAACTAAAATTCAAATTTACCTCAGTGCCCTTGTTGGTCTGTTGGGGCCCGTCAGGAATTTGGGATGATTCAGGGTATGAGAGGTATGGTACTAGATTCATTTCATGCTGCTGTTTGGCAAGTTTTGGTATTTTGCAGCCCATTATTCAAAAGGCCAGTGAGAGGTTCAAACGATTTCTCGATTATTTGTTAATTGTTCATGTGTTTTATTTATCCCACATATTATAGCTGCTCTTTAATCACTTGTTCTGGTTCCGTTTCTGTGACTAGTGCATACACAGAGATGTGAAGCCAGAAAATATCCTCATCACGAAACATTCAGTGGTTAAGCTTTGTGACTTTGGATTTGCTCGGCTTTTGAGTGAGTATGAAGTTTCTCCTGAAGTGTAAAAGACGGAAAGATTCTTTGTATAATAAAGAATCTAAATACTATAGAAAGCTATTTCTTATAAATTTAGGGCCTAAGCTTGTTATAAACTACAATTAATTATGTAGTTACCGGAAACACGGAGACACATACAGTGGTTTATAAATGTACGCTATGTGTACATTATACCACACTGAAGTGGTTATTAAAAAGTAACCCTCCTGGCCCTGGCCAGTTTGATTCAGCAGTAGAGCATCGGCCCTCGGACCAATGAGTCTCAGGTTCGATTCCTGTCAAGGGTACGTACCTCGGTTGCACTTTGGCCCTGGCCCTGGTCGGGTTGTGTGGGAGGCAACCAGTCGATGTGTCTCTCTCACATCAATGTTTCTGTCTCTCTCCCTTTCTTCCTCTCTCCCTCCCACTCTGTCTGCAGACAAATAGAAAAATATCCTCGGGTGGGGATTAAAAAAAAAATGTTACCCTCCCGGTTTCTACCATTGTACTTTCCAGAAGTACTATTTTTTTTAAATAGTTTTTTTTTTTTTTTTTTCTAAAATAGTACTTTCCAGAAGTACTATTTTAGAAGAGTGGTTTTCAACTTTGGCTGCAGATTGGAATCACGTGGGGAACTAGAACTCTAAAACCTGGACTGATTTCCCCCCACCCCCTACCCAGGGATTGTGGTTTCATCAGACTGGGGTGAGGCCCAACCAAGCATCAGTAATTTAAAAAATTCTATATTCCAAGTGATTCTCATGCGAGTAGTAGTGAGAACCACCGATTTAGAAAAGCCACAGAATGGGGCACAAGCAGGATGTCTCCGGTTTGGATTCCGCGTTTCCACTGCTCTTTCCCATGTCCCCTCCCTGGCCAGCTGGACCGAGTGACTACTACACAGACTACGTGGCTACCCGGTGGTACCGCTCCCCGGAGCTGCTGGTGGGGGATGCGCAGTACGGCCCCCCAGTGGATGTTTGGGCCGTTGGCTGTGTCTTTGCGGAGCTGCTGTCAGGGGTGCCTCTGTGGCCAGGAAAATCAGATGTGGATCAGCTCTATCTGATCAGGAAAACCTTGGGTAAGTGGTGTCTCTGTCTCACCTTTGGGGAAACTGTATAGTTTTATCCAAACAGTGCAGGGCAGAGCCAAGTTCCTAGTCTCAAAGAAGGGACACCCTCAATATCTCATTTAAATGACTCCATTAAAGGAGTCTGCATTTGTATTAATAAAAAGAATCCACAGTTTTGAGTATGTACAAATTGTCCAAAAAGATACGACTGTCAATTTGGCATAGTTTGGATCAAGTTAAACTCTGAATAATGATCATTGCAACAATAAAAACATACATTTCTATAAGGGCTTCGCAGTTTACAGGATGCTGATGTATTTAATTTCATTTATGATGATGTGGTAATTCATCCATTGCCGTTCGTGACTCCAGCCTGCCAGGCTAGTTTGGATTATTGAGATTCTCAACCTCCTACGTGTCAGGAAGAAAGTTGTTCTGATGTCACTCTTCTTGTCTTGCTTTCTCACCCAAAGCCCCTTCCTTCCTTTCTGCTCTTGAGGTGGAGGGAGGAAGGGGAGGAGAAGAGCGGGAAGGAGAGGGACAGAGGGAAAGACCCATTAGCTGTGATTGTCCTCTTCAACAGCCAGGGGTTTAGCTGCTACTCCCCCGAGTATTCCAGTTTAAATCCAACTTTCCTCTTCTAAACTCTTGCAGCACCTGCCGTCACCATGTCTTTTACTTTTATCTTCCTGAGTATACTGTAAGCTGCCTGAGGGTGAAATCATTTTTTAAATTTCTCTCTGTCCTCCACCGTCTGCACGTAGCAGGCAGTAAATACTTGCTGATGTTTCTGTTGAGGACACACAGGAGCCCTGGGAGCCCTGCCAGGGGCACTCAGCCTTTCTTGGCCGTTTCCCCTGGTGGTTTCAGGACACCTCGCCGTGCCCCCCCCCCCCCCCCCAGCTCTAATGGAAGAAGGTTATTAAGGAACAGGCACTGCTGCCGTGCCGAAGGCATGAGAGAGTATATTTTGGCTGCTCATCCAAACTGGGGTGGTTCAGCAGCTTTTGGATTTGAGAGAGAGGTAAACTTCCAAACCAAACTGGTAAAATTAGACAACTTGATACCCTGGGGTAGGAACCCCAGCCCAGTCCAACAGCAGCATTTCTGGGATCCTGATCCGAGGCGGGGGGGGGGTGTTCATTCTGCTCTGGGAAATGGGCCTGTGTGCCTCAGGGGTGCCCTTTTCTGAGTATTTCCTTGTGTTCTCTGAACAAAATTCCTCTTCAAGTGTACTCTCCCTAGAATTTTACATGAGGGTGATTTTAGTTGATTTGGCCAAAATTCAGGTAGAGTAAGACTCACATAATCCCCAGAATATAAATGCTCCTTTTAGAAGCACCTCATAAGTACTTCTAAATAGCAGAGAAAATGGGGTTTTCAGGTAATTGCTTCTTGGTGAAACAAGAAAAGGTAGTTCCAGTTTAGAAGTGTATTCCTTCTAGCTAGATCCTCCATGGTTCCCCTCCCTCTCCTCCCTCCCTCCCTCCCTCCCTTCTTCTTCCTTCCTTTCTCCCTCTCTTCCTCCCTTCCTCAAATATTGATTGAGTGCTTGCTCTGTGTCAGGCACTGTTCTGTTAAGCCAATACACTTTTGTCTTAACCCATCAGGATTCAGTTAACATGAATTTGTAATTGTTGCATTTTTGCTATTAAAAATGAGGGTGATGTTTGATTTGTGTGTGTGTGCTTCTGAGTTGTTTAGTTTGAGAGGCAAGAACCTTGTAGCCTTCCATTTCTGTGCATGCCTCCTCTGTGCCTAACACAGCGCTTGGCCCACTGTAGGTCTCAGTATAGGTTGCTGAGGCTGCTTCCAGGCCTCTCTGACAGGGAGAGCGGACTGCAGCCTTTGTAGGTGTAGGCCCAGAGACACAGCATCAAGGAGGGAAACCACAGATCAGTGCTTGCTAACACATCTCATTTTATCTTCCTTTTTCTTCTTGTCCAAAGGAGATCTCATTCCTAGGCACCAGCAAGTATTTAGCACCAATCAGTACTTCAGTGGGGTGAAAATTCCGGATCCTGAAGATATGGTGAGTGACCCATTTTGGAAAGAATTCTGCATGTCAGGGCTGAGGTTACCAGGGTGTTTTAGTGGTGATCATTCTGTTTACAAGGGGAGTTGCAGGCTAACTAGGTTTTGTTAGTTACTCACTTGGCTGAGCCCTGTGGCCCAGTCTGCACTGGAGGTCAGTCTAAGAGTGAAAAAAAAAAATTGGGGCAAATTGGCTAGCAAGACCCTGGCCTTCAGTGCTAACTTAGAGGCTGCTGATAGCAGAGGTTAGCAAGCATGATGGACAGGAATGCAGTGTGCCTGCCCTAACTTCACGTTTTTCATTTTCAGCAGTTGAAGCTAGCTAGCTCAGAGCCAATCACCTTTAGACAATGACTCATCCAGGAAAAGCCAGCTTTGTCCAAATCCCTTACTCTACTGTGCTCTTGCTCTCCAGACCACTGGGGGAATAGTAATGACTTTGCATGGCCAGCCTCACTCTGGTACCTGTCCTCCATGGCTAATGTGGGGCCACACCCATTCTAAAAAAAACAAAAACTGAAAAATTTAAAATGTGCATACTCTTAGTCTGTTTTCAAGAATTTATTCCAGTGAAATCATTAGACAAAGGTATAAAGACATAGCATTCTTTAATAGAAATAATTTCCTTTAGTGTCCCACGAGTAGGAAATTAAATAACGTATGATATATCCTTACAATAGAAATACCACATAGCCAGTAAAAATATATTTTTATGTATTCACCGGAAAAAAAGTTCACAACATATTGCTAAATGAAAAAATGGTTATAAAACATTATGTAATAATTTGACATAATTTATGTCATATATAATATATAATTTGACATATATAATTTGTATATATGTGTTTATATAATTTGACATAATTTTAATACATATTTAGTACATAATACATATATTTATATATAAGTATAAAATAATATGACAATCTTTGGAAAATCATGCAAAGCTTTTTACATATGTGAAATAAATAGCTGCAAGGATATATACAAAAATATTAACTGTGTCTCTTTCTGATGCAGTAATTTTTTTTCTCTATGGTTTTTAAATATTTGTCTTCTAATGGGACTGTATAATAATAAAAAGCATTTCAGAGCACAGGTAAGGTTTGTGAAATCCCGAGTTTCTACTATCTGAAAAAAGTACTTTCAAATTGAAACTAAACCTCCCCTTTGTTCAGTTTCCACATGAAAGTTATGTCAAGCTTCTGTTCCCTCAGCCCCTTGGTTTGTCTCACAGTGAAGACTTCCTCTTCCCTGCAGCCACTAGCAAGAGAAAAAGTGGGTCACGCTGGAAGCACGTTGGGACAGAGGCAGGAATGACACCTGGCATATGGGGGGTGACCCAGCTGGCTCCCTTGTGACCTGGACATTCCCAGTACCACACTAAATATCCCTTATCGATTTCCTGTTCCCTTGTCTACCGATGAAACCTCAGAAACAACCCAGGTTTTGTAAATGTAAAAGCTTCCCATGGTTTCCCAGAGGTTGTCCTGCAGGGGATTTCCTGTTGACAGAAACACAGGAAGAAGCAGCGGAGGGGATGTACTGGCTCAACATCTGTGCCTGGGTCGTTCTGCTGGTCAGGAACCCTGCTGGAAGGAGGCCTGCTTGCTTCTGGGGCCGGGAAAACTGGCTAAGCAGGCAGGATGGGCCCATTATATCACAGCCAGCCGGCCGGCCTCAGCCCAGGCGTTGTCGCTGAGACAGCAGAGCTCAATGTCAGCAGATGTCAAGTCAATCCCCAGGTGTGCTCAGGTTCAACACACAGAAATAGCAAGAGAAATATTTACGCCAGCTGTGTTCAACCTTTTTCATCTCATGGCACATATAAACTAATTACTGAAATTCTATGGCACACCAAAAAATATATTTTTTTGAAGATCTGACATAAAAAAATAGGTGTAATTTTTATTCACTCACACCCGACGACTATTGTTATATTGGCTGTTGTCATTTTTAAATTTAACAATCTTAGGGAAAAGAGGTCATTGCCCCTGACTAAATAGTCAGGTATTGCATGTTTTAAAAATTCTTGCAGCACATTGGTTGAACGTCACTGATTTAAGCTGGGGGTAGGGAAGCTACTCTAAAGGGCTAATGTAAATCTGCTTTAGGATTTTTTTTTTCTCCCTGTATATCGTAGGGCATTCCAAAACTGAGGCTCTTGTCTGTTTTTCTTATCAGTGATTAGTAAGAGCACACTCGGGAATTGGTTGTTGTTGGCTGGTTCCCTGTCCAAAATAACACTGTGCTCGCAGCACCAGGGATTGGGTTTCATTGGAGGAGCCCAGCCAGCCACTCCAGCCTCCTGCTCACACACTCAGCACAGCTGCTCATCTATTTTATTCAGCTTGGCTGGCTTGTCTTTTCTCAGTTGCCCTCTCCAATTAGCCTTCGTCCGTGGTATATCTCTTTAACTGGCCTGTCTGTCTGACATTGGGCATTCCTCCCACTTTATCCTGTTTGTTATTTCTCATTGACTCCAGCATGTGACTGGGGTGAAATAGTCTTGTATGGCCAAAGGGAGTTTGATGAATATCTGCTTGGGAGACACTTCAAACAGTAGGATAATCAGGGAAACAGCAGGCTCTTGTGGTAGGAGACAACAGTGTTTATTTCAGAAAACCAAGAAGCATCCGTACACTTGGGTAACAAAATAAATAAATAAATAAATTTTTAAGCTCCATTTTTGTGAATGTCAATAAAGGCAATAATGGGATCCTTTTATATAAAAGCCAATATCGGTGCCAAAAATTATTCTGAGACAAGGCAAGTTATATAAACTGAGGCAGAAATAAAGGAAATAACAATTGCTCAACATTTTTTCTTTCACTACTGTTGTTTTCTCATAATTTGCTGGCTGCATTAGTTCTTCAGGAAGTGAAAGGAGTGGTTAGGGAGAAAATTTGAAAAGCAATTTGGAGGTGGAACGAGAAGGAGCTTGTGAAACAGGCATGGGGCGGTTGTTGCAGGTGACAGGTATGGTGGGCAGAGGGTGGAGGAGGCCAGGAAGGTGCCAGGAAGATGCTTCTCTCACTCAAAAGAAATGCAATCTGAGATAACTTCATATTTGAATACATGCTGTAAATTTTTTTTAAAGCTCTTTTCTCCCCCCTCCCTCCCTTTTTTTTTTTTTTTTTAAACAGGAACCACTTGAATTGAAATTTCCAAACATCTCTTATCCTGCCCTGGGGCTCTTGAAGGTAAAACCATGGCTTCCACCCAGCCAGGGAGCACACAGCAGCTATTGTCATTGGGGAATCCACAGATTGAAAAGTATTCCTTTAGAATTCTTCTACTTTGAAAAGTATAAATATTTTCAGTTTTTAAAATGAGTCACATTCTATTATAATAAAAACGTCTGTAAGTGCTTTTTACTTTAAATATTTTTTTATTGATTTTTTAGAGTGAGAGGGAGAGAGAAACATGGATATGAGAGGAAACATCAGTTGGCTGCCTCCTGCACGCCCCCTACTGGGGATGGAGCCCGCAACCGGGCATGTGCCCTGACCGGGTGGGAATCAAAACTTCCACCTGGGAAAACGCCCAACCAACCGAGCCACACAGACCAGTGCATGTTTTTCACTTTAAATAAACCTAACTGTATTTTGACGTCTACATTTACACAAAATAGAAATTTCAGAGTGGTACTGGTTTTTAAAAAGGATCCTTTTCTTCAAAAAATGTTTAGCCAGAGGATCCTTTTAAAAAGCCAACTCCCTAGTATACTTGAAGTAGATTTTTTTTTTTTTTTTTTTATCCTCACCCGAGGACATTATTCTATTTTTTGTTCAGGTAGAGTGGGAGGGAGAGACAGGAACAGAGAGAGAGAAACATCGATGTGAAAGGGACACATCGAGTGTCTGCCACCCGCACAACCGACCAGGGCCGGGGACAAACTGCAACCGAGGTAAGTGCCCTTAGCGGGAACTGAACCCGGGTCTCTCCGGACCGCAGGCCGGCGCTCTAACCGCTGAGCCAAATCAGCCAGGGCTGAAGTAGATTTTGATTTTAAAACTTTATATACATACATATTTTCAGAAATATATAGGTCTTACGTAAATGAGGTAACAATCAAAATATTTGCAAGTTACTGTCAATGTCCCGCTCATTTAAAAAGTATTTAATACACTTATGATGCATTTATAACATAATTGAAAAGTGAGACAGTTCTTTGGGGTATGGATGGGGTCATGAGATTTAATCTATCCAATTATGAGCCCTATAGCCTACTTACTGGGAAAGCAAATAGTTAAAAATGGTGTAATATAAAGGGATATATGTTATTCCTCTCCTTCCATGCAGACATACGTGCTTATAATGCATAGACTATTTTTGAAGAAATAGACACACACACAAAATTTTGATTTTAGAAGGGGGAATGGAAGAACTAGAGTGGTGGAGAGACTTTGCTGAATCTTGTAGGCATTTTAGTTTTACCACGTGTAGTTATTGTTTAAAGTAAAAAAACAAAAAAAAACCCCCACAAAAACCTAGTTTTTACAAAGTATATGCAAAGGACCAAATAGGCTAAGTGAGTAATGCAAGTTGGACACTGAGGTGAACTGTACTACTCCCTCAGGGCAGAGCACCAACTGCCTCAAGAAAAGAACAAAGTGGAAAGTGATTTTTTGTTACTATTTCTAGAAACTATTTATTAGGTGGTTATCCATTTAGGAATGATCATGGGAGGAACTAAAATTGGGATTTTTTTCCCTACCCCCCCACCCTTATTCCCAACTGATTAGACTGTAAGAAAAAAGTGACATTAATATTAGTATTATTTTTAAAAGGTAACAAGATGGAATTTTCTTTTAGGGCTGCCTCCACATGAACCCTGCAGAGAGACTGACTTGTGAACAGCTGTTGCAGCACCCATATTTTGACAGCATCAAAGAAATAGGGGATTTGGCAAAAGATCATGACAAACCAACATGGAAGACCCTAAGACAGAACCGAAAGCATCTGCCTGGGGTAAGAATGGGAACTGCTTTACAAAAGCATCAAAGGTTGCAGCTTCAGCTGATCTCATACCTACCACCGGGTGAAAGAGGGAATCTAAATTTGAGGTGGCAATTGTGGCTCACAGCTCCAGAACCTCATTTCAACCCCAGGACACTGGTCACATAATTTACTAATCAGGACCCAGAAGACAGCTGCCTCCTAAGGCCCCTTCTCCCTGACTCCTAGAGGTGTCCTTGCCCTGAAGTTCCCAGCCGCCACACAGAGGCCAGGGTTTGGGGTATGCATGAGCACAGGTCTCAGCCAGGGACCCACCCGGGTGTCGGTCCAGCTGAGCATGGTTCTTGTGCTTTGGAAAATGAAATTAGATTTATACCAAGCAGCTGTCATCTTGTTTACCTTCAGTATTAACTGATATTCCAGGTTTATCCCCAAAGGAACTGCTTTCCATCCTGATCCTTTAGTCGTCAGAGCTGGCTAGGGTAAAATGCAGTGATAAGTACCTTCAGTGAACAGGACATGTAACCAAAGAATAGCATCCAGACTGCACACTGGGAGCCTGTGAAAAATCCTAATTGGTATAAAGTAGCAAACTGGCCTTATATAAAGTGTCTTGTCATAAGCCAAAAGCAATAATAATTTAGAATGGACTGTAGTTGGAACCACAACTAAGATGAACTGGCTGCTCCTGGTCACTTCTCGAACTGCCTAGATACCCCTTAAACTTAAATTATTTTGCCTTAAACTTTCCCTCTGAAGCCTCCACTGCACAGCGGCTGGGTGGTATCTGGTGATGTGTGTGAGGTTTGGAGGAGGGAAGAGGGTGTACAGGCCTTTAGGAACAGGTACTGAATGAACTCCAGGGCCCTAAGATCGACCAGAGTTTTGAAATTAAGAATGCTTTTATTTTATTCTCTATCATACATGATCGAGGTAGCAAAACAGACTGAAAATAGACTTTCTCCCTAGAGTTACCCCTTATCTTGCTGTTCCTTTGTGGTCAAGAGTAAAGGATGTTGATGGAAATATTTTTACTTGAAAGAATATGGGAATCCTACTAATTTGTATATTGTTTGTAAGTACTGAAGGATTCAACTGTTTGATTTAAAAACAATAAAATGTACCTGCTTTTCAGATATCTACGGCCATATAGTACAATACAAAAATTATACGTGTTCGCCTTACTTTCACATGACATTTACAATAAATTCAAACATTTCCTGGCAGCACGCAGGGAGCAGTATTGTCCTTTTAACTAAAGAGTAAGTGGGCAAATCGCCCAAGTGCTCCAGACTGTTTTCTTTGCTATAAAACAAGGCATTGGCTTAAATGGTCCCTAAGGTCCTGTGAATATATGCTTTTGTCCAATAATGTTAACATGTAGATTTTCCCTTTATTCTCTAAATTTTCTTTAATAAGCATGTTTTTTCCTTTTAATATGAAATAAACCTCTAAAAGGAAAAGCAGAGACCAAATTTAAACTTTTTGTCCCTTCTCAGGTTCTGGATTCTGTGCAGAAAAATTCTGTGCTGAAAATTTTACTTATTTACCTCTCTTGTGATGTGTTATCAATAATGAAAAAAGTACATGGCATTAGACCTAATTCTGTGTTTATATTTTCGGTTGCAGTACCTACCTCAGCTGACTAGCGGCAGCATCCTTCCAGCTCTGGATAATAAGAAGTACTACTGCAACACCAAGAAACTTAACTACCATTTTCCAAACATTTAAGGAGCTTGGAGATTGATGATAAAAAGGAACTAATCAATAACTCCAAGTAAATAAAACATGTTTGGTTTGAAAACCATCCCAATGTTGAGAAAACATAAGCAACTAACTAACTGGGGGAGGCCACTTGGCAAGCTATGAAGGGAAATTCCAGAAGCAGTCTTCCATGCTTCATGCTGGTCTCTGGAACAGAAAGGAAAAACTCATTTGGATTTGCACTTGTGTTTTTGTTGTAGCTGAACTTATGGACATATATATAAATGGTATCTACTGCCCATTCCTCTGACAAAATTAGACATGTAAAAAAGATTTATGTTTCAATTTTACCATATGCAATAAGTGAAAAATGGATTACATAACATCCATATGTATTTCCTTGGAACTCTGTTGCCTTGAGTCCTATCTCTTGCTTTTCCAGCTCATTTCAACATCATATTTAAGGAGAGTTTTAGTTCTTGAAATCAAAATATTTACAATTTCATTTCCTGCTTGCTCTATCTCTTGGTTTTTACATTTTTTGGAATATATAAGAGTTGTTCAAAATATTTAAAATCATGAATTATCATAAAAAGACTAACTTATGTGCTTATATATTTAATGATGTTTATAGACATTTCTTGCATACTTTAGTCTTTACCTTTAGAAAAGGATGCATCCTAGTCACTTTTTCAGGCAAGATGGATTTACTATACTTCATCTACATTCGTTCACTCAATTCCCATTGCAAACAATGGCAGCTGACCAAGGTGATCAAGGGGTAGAACAAAACCTATAGGCTTGGCAGGAACTGAGCCTGCCAGCCTAAAAGTATTTAGTACTTCATTCTCTCCAGCTCAGCCTCAGACTTGGACACAGATCTACAGGCAGGACTACAGTGATCTGGGTTTTGGAAGAAATTGCCTGTGAGCTTTTACATGGGTCATGAAAGACATTAGGTTGTAAAAACTGATGTTTTCCCTGAAATATCTTTTTAATATATATATGTATACACACACAGTGGGACAAAAGTAGGTTTACAGTTGTTTGTATGGAAAATAATACATAATAATATAAGCATAAACTTTATGTACTCACAGCTGTAAACCTACTTTTGCCCCCACCCTGTATATGTGTGTGTGTGTGTATACTATGCTAGCAACCAGTAAAAATGTAGTCCAGCCCTGGCCAGTTTGGCTCAGTAGTTTGAGCATTGGCCCTCTGACCGGTCTCCAGTTTGATTCCAGTCAAGGGCATGTACCTTGGTTGCAATTCAATCCCTGGCCCTGGTTGGGGTCATGTACAAGGCAACCAACCAATCTCTCCCTCTCTCCCTCAATGTGAGAGGGACACATCAACTGGCTGCCTTCTGCAAGACCCCGACCAGGGCTGGGATGAACCACAACATGCCCCTGACCAGAATCAAACCCGCGAACTCTTTGGTCTGCAGGCCGATGCTCTAACTGCTGAGGCAAACTGGCCTGGGCTCTGCTATGTTAATTTTGTTCATGAGAGCATTTGACCCTATTCACTTAGTGCTAAGTAATCCACCAAATTCTGGCAACTGTTCAATCATTTTGACTACCCCAGCCAGTTTAATGATATCCAAAGTCTTCCTGATGTATGTAGCTCCTTGCATAGAGCTGATAGTGAGCTGACTACTAATCCCAGTATTATCTAATTCTTATGTAGTTTTGATTCAAATGACAAAGAAGAATATTCAACTTCTGTGAATAGTTTACATTTTGTGTTTTTCCTTAACCCAAAACAATGCACTTGACAAGGCAGATGGCTATAACTGCCTAATGCATTTAATAGTTGTACAGAAAACCATTCAGAATAGAGAAGTAGCTCCAGACTAAACTGTGATGAATCAGTTGCCTCATCACACAGTAATCAAACAAACTTGAGAGAAGTGCTTATTTTTTCTAATGAGTTCTATTAAATGTATGCTTATGTTTAACCATATCTGCAATCTTTTCTTCACACAGAATCACCACTGTTTCACATGAGACTGCTCTATATCCTTGTCTTTTTTTTTAAAATGTACTATTTGCTAATTTTTAAAAGTGACATGGCAATTATATTAGTAAATAATGGTATGTACTATTTACATAAGCTGGTTTCTAAACACAATTAAAATTCACTTTTCTATCTGAATGCTGTATCATTATCATAGAAAGTGTTTATTTTGAAATGATTTCCAAAGTTATATTCAAACCAAACATACAGAAATTCAAAGACAAGTTGGCATATAATTAACAATAATTGAATCGGGGGCACTTCAAGCAGGTAAAAATAAGGATATGCTCAGCAGTTAAGAGTTTCGGCACTCTGACCAAAGGGTCACAGGTTCAATTGCTGGTCAGGGGCACATACCTGGGTTGCAGGTTCAATCCCCAGCCCCTATAGGGAGGGGTCCTGCAGGAGGCAACCAATTAGTGTGTCTCTCTCATATCAGTATTTCTTTCTCTCCCTCTCCCTCCCTTCCACTCTATCTAAAAATCAATAGAAAAATATCCTCAGATGAGGATTAACAACAACAAAATAAAAAATCAAAATAAAGATATGTTTTTATCTACCTACTGATATTCTTTACCACTGATTTCTAGATATAAAATGAATTTTGTGCTTATACTTCTTTATGATGTCCCTTGAGCTCACAGGAAATATGGGAGAATAAAAATCAGTTTCTAATTGACATGTTAAAATTTTGTTTAAAGCAATTTTTTAATTTAAGCAAAAAGTGCTGATCTTCCTGATTGCTTCCTCTGTTCTGCAATCAGCAGAAATATTTGAATTCAGCCAAATATTTATGTTTACTTTTAATAAAACACCAGACTAAGCTTAACAAATAGATGAATTAGCCAGAAACTACTCATTCAGAGAAAGGGTGTATGTTATAAAAAAAATCCCACAGGAATGCAGGTTCATGAGAAAGGCATGCAAACCCTGGGAACAATATGAATGCCTCAACAACCACTGACTACTTTGCATAACTGACTTCAATGAATCTGAAATTTAGCTTTCACGTTTTCATAATTGTACATTTATAGTAACATGCTTCAATAACTTCAAAGTAAAATACAACATAAATTACTGTTAAAATACAATAAAGGATATCTGCATTGTACATTTAAATCACTTTAAAGAACTCTAACTCAGTATCTACATCGAGATATCTGCATATATATCTATATAAAATGAGTATATTAGAATTAAAATATTACTTGGTCTGAATCATTTCCAGTTTAGTAACTTCAGTGAGTCTCATCTGAATATTTATTTTCTACACGATGGACTTTCTGTTTTTAAAATATCATGACATATGCCCTGGCCAGTTTGGCTCAGCAGTTAGAGTGTCGGCATGCGGTCCAGAGAGACCTGGGTTCTGTTTCCGCTAAGGGCGCATACCTCGGTTGCAGTTTGTGCCCGGCCCTGGTTGGTCATGCGGGTGGCAGCCACTCAATGTGTCCTTTTCACGTCGATGTTTTTTTTCTCTCTCTCTTCCTCTCTCTCCCACTCTATCTGAACAAAAAATGGAAAAATGTCCTCGGGTGAGGATAAAAAAAAAGAAATCATGATATAATATCCTTATAGTTCGATTGATGATTACATGATATTTGTTGTGGTTTAGGATCAACAATTTTAAATGATATTTTATATTGAATAAGGCACTTATTGATCATTACTATTTTGCGTCAAGTCTAATTTTAGTTCCAGAGACGGTAGTAATGTCCTAAAGACTTGGACAAGGTTTTCTTTATCTCTTATTCCAGGAAGATCACTTAACAACAAATACTTGAGGTTTCTGTAAAAAGAGAAAGAAAAGAAGTTCCTTCAATTTGGCTTTTATTCTTATAACATTAACACTAAACATGATTTATTGACTTTTAGAAAAAATTACACACAGGATGTGTATATTAGTTGTTCTGAATTACATCAATAATTCTAGCTGTATCTTTCCAAATACTATATGTATATAATGACATAGAATACCTTTGCATGAAAGAGATAAAATACAAGTCTTAACCTTGAAAGGAAAACAAGTTAAGAAAGTTCTTAAAGGAACTCAAAATGAAGACTTGCAGCCTTGAAGCCTCACCTAATGTAAGAAACAAACAATCTAGTACTTTTGGTTCTAATGTTTAAAATTTCTCAAACTTCCTGTGATAGGTTATTGGCAGAACATGGGGGAAATTAATTTAGAAGATGGAAAGGAAGCATAATAACTAATGTTTATTGAGAGCTTACTGTAGTAAGCACCATGCTAGGTGCTTTACATAGATTTCTTTTTGTTTTAAGATGCCCCTTAAAAAAATGCAATAAAACCATAATGTATTAAGGTTGATAATTTCAACTGTTTTAAAGTATTATAGATAAAAGTCAAGTTATTTTCTTATATTTTTCAGAACTAAAACAAGATACTACCCATCAACTGTTTTAAATTCTGATATTTCACTTTAACATCATTATGATATTTCCATTTTGGCACTGACCTTAAATGATGTAAAGTAATGATGCCTTTGTCTGTGACATTCCCACACGAGATAATTTCCATTTCCAACAAGCTTTTTTGTAAATTTTCAAGTTGACTAATTCTCTCCAAACAGGCATCCTCGATATAATGACACTTGCATAGCCTTATTTTTTCAACATACTGTAGGCCCTCTAGGGGGAAAAAGGTGCAGTTTAAGAATCTGCTTTACCATTAAAATAACCAATTGTCCTAGTTTTCCCAGGACTGTTCTGATTTTAAGATTGAAAGTCCTGTGTCCTGGGAAACCTCTCAGTCCTAGGAAAACTGGAATGATTACTCATCTTATTAACCATACGTGGTATTCACTGTACAGGTTGTGCTGATAGGATCATTTTGCAGTCAGACATCCACGCATTGGAGAAAATAAGTGCCCACCCAAGCAGAAGCTGTGTGGATATAATTATTCCTATATTATTGAGGATTTCTCAATTAAGACAGTTTGACAAACAAGGCTTGAATTTTTAAGTCAATAAACCACAGAATAAAGTCATGTAGAGACAAGCTTAGTAAGGGGAGAAAGGAGAGGAGGTGCTTATGACCTCTAATTTAGAAATATTATACACAGAAAGAAGCAAACCGAATTATACTAAAAAGGCAAAAAGGACATATCTATGACTATAATACTCAGCTGCAACAAAATGTCACTGTAAATCACCTGCATTTTTCATAAGTAAATGATAGGATAATTACCCATGTGATCAAATCCAATGCCCATGATACAAGAGTCAGTGGCATCAATGGCCTGGATCTTGTATTTGTCCAGAGGGCCTGTTGGGAGGTGGTTGTAGTCCTTCTGCCACCTCTCCTGGCCATGGTAGCGTACCATGGCCCCACAGCGAAGCAGCCACTCGGAGGCCGCCCTTTCAGGGCCAACATCCCTGATGCGTTCATAATCTACTCTGTTGGAGAGAGAACAAAAGCTTTTACTACAGTCATTAGCTGCTTAACTATACTCACCAACATAGATACAGAATAGTAACAACTTTTCATTTCAAGGAGGGAGACAAGTATACTAGCAAGATCCATGTAAAAAAACGTAGAATGGCTCTACCTGCTACCTTTCCTGCTTTTATTTTTGTTTCCAACTGAACTCTTTCAAGCATGTTATTATTTTTTTTTATTAATTTTTGTTGCAGATGATTCTCCTTTTTTCTCCCACTGATTCCCCCCTCCCTCTCCCCTCCCTGCCCCTTCCCTAGACTGTTGTCCATGTCCACTGTTCATGCATACATGCGTATAAGTTCTGTGGTTCATCCCTCCCCCACCTCCCCACTCCTTAGGGGATTGTCAGTCTGTACCCCGCTTCCGCGTCTCTGGGACTACCCCATTCCTCAAACTGTTATGTTCATTATATTCCACAAATAAGTGAGATCATATGAAATTTGTCTTTCTCTGTTTGGCTTGTTTCACTTAGGATGATACTTTAAGCATGTTATTTTTATATAAGTTTATCAGGCAGATGTGAGTCTTCATTGATTCATATGTAACACAGGGCTTGACACCAGGAGGTACTCAATAACTATGTATCAAAAGAATGATACACTTGGTTATTAGTTTTATCAATGATTAAAGAGCAAATAATTTTGAACCTATGTTCAGATTAATCTTATTAAGTGATATTTATTAATTTCTATATATACCTTTTTCTCTAGTTACTGGTGTTAGTGCTATATTAAGTAATGAGAAGGTTAGCTTCATCAGTTTCAAAATGAGGCTGCTAAGCATTGCCAGCCATTAACTTTTTAAAAACCTCAGTTCCCTTAATAATATTCAAAAGGCTAACTACATCCCTTCAGAAGCCATAGAATAAAATATTCTAAAATTACATTTATTGAACTTTTCTGATTCTAAAAGTAACAAACATTCATTTTAGAAAACTTGAAAGGCATAGGAAGGCCAAATAAGAGAAAAATTACTGAAATCCTGCAACCCAGTCATGTTAATATTTTGTAATCTATTTTTTTTTTAGTCTTCATTCAATGCTTGTATATATATTTTATTTGTTTTTAAACAAAATGAGGCTCGGTCAAGATGGCGGTGTAGGTAAATGCGGTATCGCGTCCTCCCACAACCACATCAAACTTTCAACTCACTACAGAACAACCATCATTCACAACTGCCTGAAATCAAGCTGATGTTAAGTCCTACAACTATGAAATTAAAGCAGCAGCCACATCCAGACTGGCAGGAGGGGCAGAGGCGCGAGGGCCGGTGGCGAGATGGGCTGGTCCCACACTGACGTGTGGCGGATAAAAATCAGGACACCTCGGCTGGGAAGGTTCTTCCTGGGGACTGAGGGGGGTCTCCGTCCCACACCAGGTGCCCCGCTCAGGGTTCCAGTGCCAGGAAGAGAATCCCCATAACTTCTGGCTGGAAAAACCGGCAGGAACTGAGGCTCAGGGAAGCTGAAGCGGCTGGAGCCCCAGGCAGCTCCTTAAAGGGCCTGCGCACAGACTTATCGGACTCTCTCCCTCTAAGCTTGGAGGGGAGGTAGCTCGAGGGGCGCCAGAGACATACAGAGAAGAACTGAGCTGTTTGGCACTGGAGCGAGGGCTGGAGAGGGGGCTTTCTCTGGGACAAACGTGCTATCAGAGGCCTTTGTTCCTTTGGTGAGCCCTTCCCTGGGGCGGCAGACAGTCGCCATATCTGGGACTCCAGCAACCTGGCTCACACTGGTAGCCCCGCCCTGGTGACTCCCCTGAGGCCCCGCCCCATCCAACTTTCAAGTCCACCCAAGCTGTTGCCACTTGCTTAACCATAGGATTGGCCTGTCTTGGATCCTGCTTCAGGTTTTTCCTAAATTCTTTCAAAGGAGCAGCATCTGGTCTCAGCTAGCCCCATACTGCTTGTTAAATAAGACACAGAAACAAACAGAGGGAGGCAGCAAAAATGAGGAGACAAAGAAACAGGTCCCAAATGAAAGAACAGAACAAAACCCCAAGAAAAGAACTAAGCGAAATGGAGATAAGCAACCTACCAGATACTGAGTTCAAAATACTGCTTATAAGGATGCTCAATGAACTCAGTGAGAACCTCAGTGAACTTAGTGAGGGCCTCAAGAGCATAAAAAAGGGCCAGTCAGAAATGATGGATACACAGTCAGAATTGAAAGAGGCATTAACTGAAATAAAGAATAATTTACACAGGTTCAATAGTGGAGTACGTAAATCCAAGAAGCAAACCATCGATTTGGAATATAAGGAAGCAAAAAACGCCCAATCAGAACAGCAAAAAGAAAAAAGAATCCAAAAAAATGAGGATAGTGTAAGGAGCCTCTGGGACAACTTCAGCGTGCCAACATTCGCATCTTGGGGGTGCCAGAAGAAGAGAGAGAACAAGAACTCGAAACAATAATGGCAGAAAACTTCCCTAACTTGGTGAAGGAAACAGACATACAAGTCCAGGAAGCACAGAGAGTCCCAAACAAGATGAACCCCAAGAGGCCCACACCAAGACACATCGTCATCAAAATGCAAAAGTTTCAAGACAAAGAGAGAATCTTAAAAGCAGCAAGAGAAAGGCAGCTAGTTACCTACAAGGGAGTTACCATAAAGCTGTCAGCTGATTTCTCAAAAGAAACTTTGCAGGCCAGAAGGGAGTGGCAAGAAATATTCAGAGTGATGAAAAGCAAGAACCTACAACCAAGATTACTCTATCCTGCAAAGCTGTCATTTAGAATAGATGGCCATATAAAGACTTTCCCAGACAAGAAAAAGTTAAAGGAGTTCATTACCACCAAACCGTTATTATATGAAATGATGAAGGGTCTTTTTGAAGAAAAAGATAAAATGTATGAACAAACAAAATGGCAGTGAATACATATCTATCAACAATGGAATCCACAAACAAAATGAACAGGTAGAACAGAAACATTCTCATAGATAGAGAACATTTTGTTGGTTGCCAGATGGGAGGAGGCGTGGGGGAACGGGTGAAAAAGGTGAAGGGATTAAGAAGTACAAATTCATTGCTAGACTGACAAACCTCAAAGGGAAAGAGGTTGGGGGGGGGCGGGAAGAGATAAACCAAAGAACTTATATGCATAACCAATGGACACAGACAATAGTGTGGGAAAAGGCGGGAGGGGGGCGGGAGTGGGGAGGAGGGGGTCAATGGGGGAAAAATGAGGAACATCTGTAATACATTCTACATTCAACAATAAAGATTTTTTAAAAAATAAACAAAATGAGGCTCACACTGCACACACTGTACAAAAAAAGTTTTTAAATACAAGAAATAACCAAATAGCTATTGGGAAGTCATCTCATTTTAACAATCTCCATGTTTCTTCCCTTTCATTAGAGTAACTTACTTATTAAACACGGCATTCAACCAGCCCCAGAAGTATCTGGAATCACATGACCATGGGATTTTCTTCAAGCCACACAACTGCCAGGCAACTTTTCCAAACAGCATCATTTGATCTAGACACACAAAAACAGTATTGATATTAGATCATCAGCTGGCAGTCAGAGTCATGTACATATAGTCACTTCACAACTTCAAAGTCAATGCCTTGTGCCAGTAAAGCTAATGACTCACTTGCCTCTCAATAGCTATTGAACAAGTCACTCCGGTCTCAGTTTCCCAGTTTCTTTTGCTGCAAAAAAAGAGGAGCTCTATGATTCCGTCCAGCCTTGACATTAAGTTCCATTGTTCTATCCTCAATTGGCATCTGTCGGCACTGTTGCCACCTGGTGACCATTCAGACAATGCACCTACAAATTCACTGAAACCAGCCCTACTTGCAATCTACATTTGCAGTATCAAAATGGCACACTGAAATCACCCAGGGAGCAATGTGTCGAGGTCAACACACTTACATTCAGGAAGGAAGAGGTGACATGGAAACAAATCTTCCTATGACAAGGCTACAAATAGTGTCACCAGAACAGGGCAAAGAACTGTGGAAGGGCAGCTGGGAAAGACTGGGCAAGTAACCACCTCTCTGACCCTTGGCTTTCTCATCTGTAAAATGAGATGTGCTCAAATGATTTCCAGCTGTAAAAATCTATAACCATGAGTTAAGAAAGTGATTTCTGAATTAGGTCTCAATCTGATTTAGGTCAATTCTAGTTTCTCTAGTATAGTGTGCCAGGTCAGGGAGGGGTTTGGGGAAGGGGCAAGGATAAATGAAACTTGGTCTCTGTGAGGAATTAACAATTTAAGGCAGAGTGGAGTGAGCTAAAACAAGTTACCAAGTAGTTAAAATAAAGGACAGACCTAATAAATACTATAAAAGAGTTAAAATAAGGACAGACCAGGATTTCAATAATCCAGGTGATTAGCTGAGGCAGGGACATTTAAAGCATGTTGTATTTCAGTTTGGTTACCATATAGGGGTAATGAGAAGAGGCAACAGTCAATTTACAGTCACATCAGAGAAGGTCTGGTTTATCAGTTAGGGAATTTGGACTGTCTTCTGCGGGTAGTCAGGAGTCACTGAGGTTTTAGCATAGAACACTGGCATCGTTAGAGCTATGCTTCAGGTATATTACTCAGACAGCAATGACAAGACTGAGTACACTAGACAGGACACAAAGACAGCTAACAAGGGCTTCAGCCACATGTGGCCATGGGAAAGGGCCAAGTAGGGGAAGAATGGGAATGACATTACAGAATGGATTCCACATGACTTGGTAAATGAGATGTAGGGGCAAGGGTCAGAGAAGTTGAAGATGACAGTAAGTTTTGCTCCTGAGTCACTGGTCGGATGATGATGCCATTATGAAATTAATGTCAGAAGGTCAGCGTTGTGGGTTCAGGCTTTTTTATTCCCCCGTTGTTCATATTCTAAATATGAAGTTGGCAGAACTTCTCAGAGGAGATAACCAACAAATAATTAGAATTCGAGTCACAAAATGGTAGAATTGGAAGGAATTCAGACCACCTAGACTAAACCTCTCATTTAGAGATAAGGAAACTGAAGCCCTGATATTAAGTAACTTGCTGACACCCAAAATCCTTTCTAGAACAAGGTGGGGTTTTAATAAATGCATAAAAGGACTTGCCCAATGTTTCATGGCTAATTGGTGGCAGTGCTGAAACTTGAACCTTGTTTTGTCTACTACTAGCCCAGGGCTCTTTTCTTAGTCATAGAATGGTTCGGTAACTCAGGGGGAAAAAAGAGGATTAGAAAGAAGCCTGAGTGGAACCGCCTGAGGGCTGAGGAAGAGACTGAGGATGCTGAGGTTGTGGAACAGTGAGATGAGGTCTGAGGACAGAACCTAGAATCACCTACTCTCTTCCTACCTTTTCTGCCATCACTCTGCCTTCATTACTGCAAACTTTCCCTCCTCCCTGCTATCACACTCATGTTCTCAGCCCTTTCCAGCTTTTTGTTAAAGCCTCCTCCACCTATGCCCACCTCTAATAACTCCATTGGCTGCCAACCTCATTTACAAATTTGGGCTTTCCAGCTTCAACTCAGGCTATGCCCTTTTTTTACCATCCTTCCCTGCCCACCCAATCCTGTCTGTGGACCTTATTCAAGATAGAAAAACCAAACAAAACAACGGAGACAAAGAAATGGTTCCTATCCTCACAGAATATTTAGTCTAATAAAGAAGGCAGAAGACATAAATAACATGCAACATGGTGTCTTAATAGAGGTATGAACAAGTTCTGTCAGAGCCTAAAAGAGTGAGGGGAAGGCTTCATACTAGAGTTTTCTTTTGGGATGGTTCTTAAAGGGTGATTAAGAGTTTCCAGTTAGGCAGAAAAAAGAAAAGTATGCAGAGCAAAAGGAAGAGCAAGGATCATGTCTTATTCATTTCCATTTTGCTTAATACCTAGCACAGTGCCATACCCCTAATGAAAGAGTTTAATAAATATTTGCTAGCTAATAGTCTTCAGTGGTTGATATATTTCCATAGAGAAAGGTAAAACTGGAGAAACTGTTGCTAAGCAGGTAAATCTGAGTGGTCTGTGAAAACTGAAGTACTTTTACTTGATTTATTTTGGCCCACCCTATAATTCACCTTAAAGAAAAGGCCAAATTCAGCTATGATATTTTAAAATATTAGATATTATATTAAAATAACTTAAACATGAAAATAAAATTGTTATTTAGCAATAAAGGTGAAAAAATTAATTGATAGGTTTTTACATTGTCAACTGTGACTTGGTTAATTTCAGCAATTTCTGATCAATTCAAGCAGCTACCTCTGAGAATGCTTTCTATACGGAAAGAGGAGACCTCTAGTGGTGGGTTGGTGAATTTAACTGTAATGAATTCAAAGAAACCAGTTAAAAGCAAGTGAAAAATAACCACTACTAAATTACTGCTGTGATAAATAATTCAGGAATTTAAATCATTAAAAAACAAACAAAAACTTCTTACTATCATAACACAAATTAGCGCCATAAATTTGTAACTGATGTTTCTAAAAGTTGTAATTATGTTTGTGACTTAGAGATAGCCAGACCTCTCAGCTGAGGAGGGTGGTACCCTGAACACAAATGTCTCTAGCCAAAGATACTACAGGGTGTATAAATGTAAGGTGAATTCTTGATTTGAAATTACTTCACTGAAACAAATTAACGTACAATCCTAGGGGAGAGTGTAAGCAGAAAAAACGTTTATAAAAAGAACATGAGTATTGGAGTCCCTTCACCTTGCTAAACTAAGAAGTACATGTTGAAAATCAGAGCAGTAAAAAAGTTACTATGGTCCAATCCAACAAGAAGATATAACCCTGGTAAACATATATGCACCAAATACAGGAGCACCAAAATATATTTAAAAAACTTCTGGAGGACTTCAAGGGAGAGATCAATAGCAATGCAATCATAGTGGGTGACTTTAACACCTACTAACACCACTGGATGGATCTTCTAGACAAAAAATTAACAAGGACACAGTCCTTAAATGACTAACTAGATCAGCTGGATTTAATTGATATCTACAGAACATTTCACCCCAAAGCTGCAGAATATACATTCTTCTCAAATGCACAAAGGACATTCTTGAAGATAGACCACATGTTGGAACACAAAGTAAGTCTCTACAAATTCAAGAAGATTGAAATCATATCAAGCATCTTCTCAGATTACAATGGCATCAAACTAGAAATAAATTGCAACAAGAACATGTAAAGACATTTGAAAACATGAAGCATAAAGAGCATGTTATTAAATAATAAATGGGTTACCAAGGAGATAAAGGAAGACATTAAAAAACTCCTGGAAACCAATGAAAATGAACACACAACAACACAAAATCTATGGGACGCAGTGAAAACAGTCCTGAGAGGGAAGTTCATAGCACTACGGACCTACCTCAAGAAACAAGAAAAATTCCTAATTGACTTTTCTAACCTTACAACTTAAAGAACTAGAAAATAAACAAAAAGAAAAACCCAGCGTAAGTAGAGGGAAAGAAATAGTAAAGGCCAGAGCATAAATAAATGACATAGAAACTAAAACTTTTTTAAAAAAAAATCAGTGGAACAAAGAGCTGGTTCTTTGAAAAGATAAACAAGATTGATTGACTGTTAGCCAAACTCACCAAGAAACAAAAAGAGAGGACCCCCATAAACAAAATCAGAAACGTAAGAGGAGAAGTAACAACTGATACCACAGAAATACAAAGGATCATTAAAACATACTACAAACAATTATATGCCAACAAATTGGACAATCAAGGCGAAATGGAAAAATTTCTAGAAACACAGTCCCCCAAAACTGAACCTGGAAGAGATAGAAACCTTGAACAGACAAATGACTACTAAGGAAATTGAATATGTAATCAAGAAACTCCCAGCAAACAAAAGCCCAGGCCTGGATGGCTTCACGAGGAAGTTTTACTGAACATTCAAAGAAGAACTAACACCCATTCTCGTCAAACTATTCCAAAAAATCCAAGAAGATGGAAGGCTCCCAAACTCATTTTATGAGGCCAGCATAATTCTCATTCCAAAACCAGATAAAGATATTACAAAGAAAGAAAACTACAGGCCAATATCCCTGATGAACACAGATGCCAAAATCCCTAACAAAATATTAGCAAATCGGATCCAGCGATACATCAAAAAAATTATTCATCATGACCAAGTGGGATTCAGCCCAGTGAGGCAAGGAAGGTAAAATATTTGCAAATCAATAAATGTGATACACCACATAAACAAAATGAAAGATAAAAACCATATGATCAGCCCTGGCCAGTTTGGCTCAGCGGTTAGAGTGTTGGCCCATGGACCAGAGAGTCCTGGGTTCGATTCCTGCTAGGGGCATGTACTTCAGTTTCAATTTGTCCCCGGCCCCGGTTCAGGTCGTGTGGGTGGCAACCACCTGGTGTGTCTCTCTCACATCGGTGTTTCTTTCTCTCTCTTCCTCCCTCTCTCCATCCTGCTCTATCTGAAGATAAATGCAAAAAGTGTCCTCGGGTAAGGATAAAAACAACAATAAAACAACAAAAATACAAAAACATATGATCATATCAATAGACCCTGAAAAGGCATTTGACAAAATCCAGCATTCTCACAGTCTGATAAAAATACTCAGCAATGTGAGAATAGAGGGATCATATCTCGACATAATGAAGGCTATTTATGAAAAACCTATATCAAACATCATACTCAATGGGCAAAACTAAAAGCATTTCCCTTAAGAACAGGAACAAGACAGGGATGCCCACTTTCACCACTCTTATTTAACATAGTACTGGAAGTCTTAGCCAGAGTGATTAGACATGAAGAAAGAATAAAAGGGATCCAAACTGGAAAGAAGGAGGTAAAACTGTCATTATTCGCAGATACATGATATTATACCCAGAAAACCCTAAAGATTCCATCAAAAATCTACTAGAGTTAATTAATGAATTTGGCAAAAGAGCAGGATACAAAATTAAAATCAAGAAATCGATAGCATTCTTATACACCAACAATAAGCTCACAGAAAAAGAAACTAAAAAAAAATCCCATTTACCACTGCGGCAAAAAAATTAAGATACCTAGGAATAAACTTAACCAAAGAAGTAAAGGACCTATTTGCAGAAACTACAGGTCATTGAAAAAAGAAATAGAGGAAGATATAAAAAAATGGAAGCATATACCTTGTTCATGGATTGGAAGAATTAACATCATTAAAATGTCCATACTACCCAAAGCAATCTATAGATTCAATGCAATCCCCATCAAAATACCAATGACATATTTCACAGAACTAGAACAAATACTCCAAAAGTTTATATGGAACCCAAAACGACCCCAAATAGCCACAGCTATCTTGAAAAAGAACAAAGTAAAAGGGATCACAATACCGGATATCAGGTTATACTACAAAGCCATTGTAATCAAAAGAGGCTGGTACTGGCACAGGAACAGGCATATAGATCAATGGAACAGAACAGAGAACCCAGAAATTGACCCAAGTCATTATGCTCAATTAATATTTGACAAAGGTAGCAAGAGCAGACAGTGGTCTAAAGACAGCCTTTTTAATAAATGGTGTTGGGAAAATTAAACAGCTACATGAAAAAAAATTGAAGCTAGACCACCATCTTACACCATATACTGGAATAAACTCAAAATAGATATAAGACTTAAATGTGACTCATGAATCCATAAAACTCCCAGAAGAAAATGTAGGCAGAAAAATCTCAAACATCACACAGAGCAGAATTTTCACTTATACAATGCCTAAGGCAAGAGAAACAAAGGAAAAAATGAACACATGGGACTACATCAAACTAAAAAGCTTCTGCACAGCAGAAGAAACAACCATCAAAATGGAAAGGGAACCCACTATATGGGAGAGCATAATTGCCAACGATACATCAGGTAAGGGGTTAATTTCCAAAATATATAGAGTACTCATACAACTCAACAAAAGACAAAGAATCCAATTAAAAAATGGGCAGAGGACCTGAATAGACACCTCTCCAAACAGTACATACAAATGTCCAAGAGACATAAAAAAATGTTCCATGTCACTAATCATCAGAGAGATGCAAACTAAAACAACTATGAGGTATCACCTCACACTTGTCAGAATGGCCGCCATCAACAAATTATCAAACAAGTGCTGGCGAGGGTGTGGAGAAAGGGGACTCCAGTACACTGCTGGTGGGAATGCAGACTGGTGCAGCCACTATGGAAAACAATATGGTGTTACCTCAAAAAATTAAAAATTGAACTGCCATTTGACCCAGTCCTATTTCTAGGACTATACCCTAAGAAGCCTGAAACACCAATCAGAAAGAATATATGTACCCCTATGTTCATAGCAACACTATTTATAATCGCTAAGATCTGGAAACAGCCCAAGTGTCCATCAATAGATGAGTGGATAAAAAAGCTGTGGTACATGCACACAATGGAATACTATGCAGCTGTAAGAAAGATCTCTTATCCTTTGAGATGACATGGAGAGACCTGGAGAGTATTATCCTAAGCAAAACAAGCCAATCAGAGAAAGACAAATATCATATGATCTCACCTACTTGTGGATTATAATGAACAAAACAAGTTGATAAAATAGACTCAGAGACATAGAAGTAGGGATCAGACTGACAAACCTCAGAAGTTGGGGATGGGGGAGGAGAGGGAAGAGATAAGCCACAGAATTTATATGCATGGACATAGACAGCAATGCTGGGGGCTGGGGTGGGATTGTGAGGAGGGGAAAAAGGAGCAACATTTGTAACAAAAATTAAAAAAAAAAAGGAAACCACATAAAAAAAAAAAAGTTACTATGGTCCATGAAAGTCTGATTACTGACCCTAGAAGTGTCTAAGTCTGTATTCAATCTAGTAGAAAGTCAACTACATCCTGTGCCTACTAAAAAATAACTATCTTGTCCTGGCCCATACAGCTCAGCAGTTAGAGTGTCGAACTGTGAACCAAAGAGTTGCGGGTTGGATTCTCATCAAGGGCACGTACCTTGGTTGTGGTTGGGTCCCTGGCCCTGCTTGGGGTCCTGTGGGAGGTAACCAATGGATTTGTCTTTCTCACATCAATCCTCCCCCCATCCCTGCCCTCCTTCCCACTGAAGATAAATGGAAAAATATCCTCGGGTGAGAATTAAAAAATAATAATAACCATCTCCATTACATACCTATCAGAATGATTAAAATAAGAAACAGTGACAAGACCAAATGCTGGTGACGAGGAGAATCTGGATCACTTGAATATTGCTTGTGGAAATGTATAAAGGTACAGCCACTTTGGAAAAGCAGTTTGGCAGTTTATTTCAAAACTAAAGGTGTGTTTATCATATGACCCAGCAATTGGACTCTTGGGTATTTATCTCAGAGAAACAAAAACAGGTTTCACACAAAAAAGCTGTATACTAATATTAACAGCAGCTTTATTCAAAATTAGCTAAAAATTGGCAACAACTCAGATGTTCTTCAATGGGTGAGTGGTTAAACATACTGCGGTAACATGAAATACTACTTGCCAATAAGAAGGAATGAAATATGGATACATGCAACAATTGAGACGGATCTCAAGGGATTATGCTGAGTGAAAAAAAGCACCAATTCTGAAAAGTTACATACTGTATAATTCTTTTTATATAAATTCTTTTTTTAATGTTGATTTTAGAGGGAGAGGAAGGGAGAGGGAGAGAAACATTGATGAGAGAGAAACACTGATGAGAGAGAAACATGGATTGGCTGCCTCCTGCATGCCCCCTAGTGGGGATGAAACCCCAGCCATGGCATGTAAACCAACTGGGAATCCAACCAGTGATCTCCTGGTGCATGGCCTGGTGCATGGGACGATGATCAACCAACTGGGCCACACTGGCCAGGGCTGTATAAATTTTTGAAGTGACAAAATTTAGAAAGGGAGAACAGACTGGGAAAGTGGTGCCCTGCTGTATGAAAATGTAGTTATAAAAGGGCAACAGAGGGATTCTTGTGACGGAACTATTCTGTAGCTTGACCGTGGTGGTGGATACAAGAACCTACACACATGATAAAAACTATGTAGAACTAGCCCTGGCCGGTTTGGCTCAGCGGTTGGAGCATAGGCCTGCGGTCTGGAGATACCTGGGTTCGGTTCCTGCTAAGGGCACGTACCTCGGTTGCAGTTTGTCCCCGGCCCGGTTGGGTCGTGTGGGTGGCAACCACTCGATGTGTCCCTTTCACATCGATGTTTCTCTCTCTCTCTCTCCCTCCCACTCTATCTGAACAAAATATCAAAAAAATGTCCTCAGGTGAGGATTAAAAAAAAAACAACAACTATGTAGAACTAAATACATAACTAAATAGTAAAAACTAGGGAAATCTAAATAAGATCAATGGTTGTGTCAATGTCCATGTCCTAGTTGTAATGTTGTACTATAGTTTTGCAAGATGTTATTTTTTAGGGAAACTGAGTAAATGGTACACAGAATCTCAATTGTTTCTTACAACTGGATGGAAATCTACAATTATCTTGGACATTTTTAAACATTTCAAAAACAACCATCCGTTAAAAAAAATGTGATGGAACAAGCAGGTAACATTTTACACTATTTTCACATATAAAGCAAAATATAGACAACTACCCAGGAGGTAAAACCATCTGAGCATAATAAAAGCATTTATGGAGTACTTCACTGCGCTAAAACCTGATGAGCTTTATGTAATCTGAACAGCTCTAACAGGGAGACACTACCATTACTCCTAGTTCTGGGGTGAGGGTGGAGGGGTGTCTGAGACAAAGAGGTGAAATGACTTCCCAAAATCACCTAATGGCTGGAACCAAATCAAATGGGCAAGTCCAGTACCTCCAGCAATGAAGTTGTATCCTTCTACTTTACTGTTCAGCTGTTCTGACCCTAAACATTTTAAACTGCCATTAAACACAGAGAACGGGTATTAAAGTGGCACGGTGATACACACATAATTTTAGAGTAATCAGGTATTTTAGAGATTACGGAACTCACGACCCTCATTTTACAGATAAGGGAACAGGGAAAATGTGACCTGTCCAGGCGAGTCGGTGTTCCCAGGCCTGAACAGCATATTTCAGGCTGTATCTCGACCCAGTATTAACGATAAGGAAACAGATCGCGCAATGATGGCAGAGACCGAGCGAGGTCTGGTTCCCTTAGTGGACATTTACAGGACCCATAAATAACCGAATAAATGACAGCGCCACGAGCCCCACAAAAAGCAGCCCAGAAGACCGCAGGCTCTCGGGAGCTGCGTGACAAAGAGCCCGGGTCCGGAGTGCGGCCGAGGCCGGCTGGGGCGCGCCCCTCAGCGGGCACTGGGCTCGGAAGGGCAGGGTTGGAGACCGCGGGTGCTCAGCAGTCAGCCTGGAGCTGACCCGGGCCAGGGTCGGGGCCGGGGCCGGGGCCGGGGCCGGGGCCGGGGCCGAGGTCGGGATAGGGGTCGGGGTCGGGGCCGGGGCCGGGGCGGGTCGGGGCGGGAGGAAGGAAGGCCGCTGGGCCCGCCTAAACGAGTTTTCACCGTACTCGTGCCCAGATTGTCTCCCACGGCCCCACGTCCACTCGACCGCGACCGTCAGAGACGCGCGACTCGGCGGACAGGCTTTCCGTTAGCCCAGCGAGGGGAGAAGGGAAGGGCAGAGCGTCACCACCACCCTAGTCCCGCCCGCTCGGGCCTAGCTCCTCAACTCACGGCGTCGCAGGGAGGGAGCGAACAGGCGTCCCTGGCGAGAGCTGAAGCCCCAGCCTGCCCCTCGCGCTCCGCCGCGCGCCCATTGGTCACTGGTGGCCGCGCCCCCGTAGAACGAAGGCGCGCGCTCATTGGTCTCTGCAGAAGAGGTGGGGCCAGGGGCTCCGGGGGCCCCAGCAGTGAGTGTCGCGCTCTGGTGGCCAAGCTGGGGCTGAGGCAGGCGAGGGGACGCAGGCGATGGTGCTCGCTCTGCGTTACCTGGGCAGTGCCTGCGGACGGGCCCGCGGAGGTTTCCCCGGGGGCTTCTCCGCGGCGTGCGGGCCTGCACTGGGGAGGCCCTGGCCACTGTGCCAGGGTGGCCGCAGAGCCAGCACTAGGTGAGTAGCCGCTGGCCCGCCCCCGCCGCCTGCATCTTCCCTTAGAGGTGCCTCGTGCTGGACCTATGGGTGCCCTTGCTCTGTCTACTTCCCTGCCCCAAGCGTGAGCGAGGTCAGGATCCTGTGGAGCACTGGCTCCAAACCCGGATCCCAGGTGCCACCTGCGGGATTTATTCATTGTGTTTGTGGGCGGGAGGAAAAGCATAAGTAGAGGTCTACCACAGTCCGTCTTTGAATACAACCCCTCCACTTCCTATTTAACTCGGCGGGTTAACTGAAGCTCCTTAACGGCTCCGTTGTGAATTAGAGCCTAGGCTCTCCCACAGGTGATATTTTTGAGAGTAAAAAGACCTAGCCCACTGTAAGCAGTCAAATAACGCTGTTTATTAGTTGGCATCCCTGCTGTTACTTGGAAGATCTGAAACCAGTCTTAAATCAGTTCCAGGCAGACACTGCATAGTTACCTCACTGAGAAGCAGCTCAGTTGCTAATCAAAGCCTGCAGAATTCAGTGTGTTGCGATTTAAAGTTTGGAGGTCACATTGGACACCTCTGTCTTTCTGTAGAGATGCTGCTTTATGACAAGACTTTAAAGCTGGAAAGTTTGGCTGTTTCTAGAACAAGAAAGAAGGTGGAGAAGTTGAGTGAAACTGGAGCTTAGGGTCAGAGATGGTGTGAAATGACACCAGGAGAGGGGATACATTACAGCTGGGATTTTATTTTATTTTAACTACACGTTGAATTTTATTCTAAGAGCGTTGGGAGGTTTTTAAAGGGTTTTTAAGAAGAGGGAGTGATTAAATGCTGATGTTTCAAAAATTACTCTGATTGCTGTGTGTTTTTATATTGGAGGAGTATTAGAATGAGATAGGATTTGTAATTTATGGGGTATGTAAACAATTCTTTTGGGAAGCTTTTCTTAATGGAAGAAAAGTAGGGTCAGTGAAGGTTTTGTGTATACTTTTTATTTTGAAATAATTATGGAATCATAGGAGATTGCAACAAAGCAGAGCTCTCATGTACCCTTCACCCAATTTACCCCAGTGATAACATCTTATATAACTATAGTACCATATCAAAACCAGGAAATTGACTTTGACACAATCCATAGACCTTGTTCAGAGTTCATCAGTTTTACATGCACTCCTTTTCATGCGTGTGTTTGTGTGTGTGTGTGTGTGTTTCTATGCAGTTTAGTCATGTGTGAACTTGTGTGACTACCACCACAATTCAGAAACAGAAATGTTCCATCAATACAAAGATATTCCTTGTGTTACCTACTGTGTTATATTCACATCCCATCTCTACACCCTTTCTAACTACTTCTTAACCTGTGGCAACTACTAATCTATTCCCTAGGTTTATATTTTGTCATTTTGAAAATGTTCTATAAGTGGAGTCACACAGTATGTAATCTTTTGAGATTGGCTTTATTTTTTTCACACAGCATAATGTCCTTGAGATTCATCTAAGTTGTTACCAATATGGATAGTATGGTTCCTTTTAATTGTTGAGTAACATTAATGGTATGGATGTATCACAGTTTGTTTAACCATTCACCAGTTAAAGTATATCTGGGCTGTTTCCAGTTTTTGGCTATGAATAAAGCTATTATAATACTTATATACAGGTCTTTGTATGAACATAAATCCTTTCTCTGGGATAAATGCAGGTGCTAAGACCTACAGTAAGCACATGTTTAGTTTTTTAATAAACTACCGTATTATTTTACCAGAGTGACTGCTATTTTAAATTCCTTCCAGTAATATGTGAGTGATTCAGTTCTTAATCCTCACCAGCATTTGGTATTATCACTTTTTAAAATTTTAGCCATTTTGATACGACTGTAGTGGTATCTCAATGTAGTTTTAATTTGCATTTCCCGAATGACTAATGGTATTGAACATCTTTTCATGTGCTTATTTGCCATCTGTATATTTGTCCTCTTTGATGATATGTTTGTTCATATCTTTCGCCCATTTTCTAAATGGCTTGTTTGTTTTGAAAGTTCTTAATAGATATTCTAGACAGGGTACTTTGTCAGATATGTGATTTGCAAGTATTTTCCCCCAATTTGATGGTTTTCTTATCCTCTTAACAGGATCTTTTGCAGAGCAAAAGTTTATCATTTTGATGAACTCTAGTTCATCAATTTTTTTCTTTTATGGGTAATGTGTTTGGTAAACTCTTTACCTAGCCCTATATCCCAAAGATTTTTTTTTTTTTTTAATCCTCACCCGAGGACATTTTTCCATTTTCTGTTCAGAGTGGGAGGGAGAGAGAAGAAGAGAGAGAGAGAAAGAAACATTGATGTGAAAGGCACACATAGAGTGGCTACCACCTGCATGACCCAACCAGGGCCGGGGACAAACTGCAACTGAGATACGTGCCCTTAGTGAGAACTGAACCTGGGTCTCTCTGGACCACAGGCCAACGCTCTAACCGCTAAGCCAAACCGGCCAGGGTTCAAAGATTTTTTTTCTGTGTTTTCTTCCAAAAGTTTTATAGTGAATATTTGATGATATAAAACATTTCTTGTTAACTTTTTAAGTTAAAATGATAGTGTTGTGTTTGTGTGTTTTAATAAGTTTTTATTGATTTTAGAGAGAGGAAGGGAGAGGAAGGGAGAGATCTATCAGCTGCCTCCTGCACACCCCCTCCTGGGGACTGAGCCTGCAACCTGGGCATGTACCCTGACCAGGAATCAAGCTGGTGACCTCCTGGTGCATGGGATGAAGATCAGCCAACTGAAGCACACGGGCTGGGCTGCACGTACTTTTAAAGGTTTCTTCATGAGTATAAAGTCAAATAGCATAGAGCCCAATAAATATTGCTTATAATGATTATAATAGTTTAATTAATTGTCCATAGATGATGACAAATTTGAGTGTGAAGTTTGATGAGGTCTACTGTAAACATGCATTACTTTAAATGACTTTCTTTTAAGTGATTTTCTTTTAAAGCTCATTTGATGTAGTCATTATCGGTGGTGGAATTGTGGGGCTTGCCTCTGCCAGAGCACTCATCCTGCGACATCCAGCACTTTCTATTGGTGTTTTGGAAAAGGAGAAAGATTTAGGTATGTATGCTTTCAGTGTTGCTCTTCAACAATTCTGCTTAACCTGAGCAATTCTGCATCTGTTATGCTGAGTGTCAAAGTTAATACGCTAGTTTGAGTTCTCCATAAAGCAGAGCCTGGGACTAAGACTTGGGTGTAAGTGATTTATTTGAGAGACAGGGATAGTAAACAGGGAAGGAGAAAAGGCCACATATGGGTACATTATTGAAGTTGCTGTTGTGAGCTTGATTCCACTGGTACCTCTGAAGAACTACATAAACATTTCCCAGGATCATGCTCATTTATCCATCAGCTCCTGTCCCTATTGGTTGAGGATTGCCCCTAGGGATGTTGAATTCTTCTTTCCCACATTAGAAAAGGCCCTGGGCAGAATGCAAAGAGCTATAGTGGCACCTTGAAGTGGTTTGATGGTAGTGAGAGGTGAGTTTGTGAACTAAAGTTGTAACTGAAATAAAAAATGGGCTGGTGGGATGTGACACAGGCACCAGGGATGGCGGCCAGAAGAAGTTATCAGTGCTCTGACCGTAAGAATTTTAAATAATGTGGTCTCTGATAGCTTCAACTATGCTTGTTCCCCACTTCTTAGGTTTTTTTTATGGGGCATGTACTTTCCCTTATGCTGTTTCTCTTGTTTGGTAGCTATTCACCAGACTGGACATAACAGTGGTGTCATACATAGTGGAATTTATTATAAACCCGAATCTCTGAAAGCTAAATTATGTGTACAAGGCGCAGCCCTCATCTATGAATACTGTAACCAAAAGGGAATTTCTTACAAGCAGTGTGGCAAGGTACGGTATTTTACTAGGACCTTGACTTATTTATAACTTCCATTTTCTTAGTGATGTTTAATGTTGAATTAACAACAACAACAACAAAAAAAACTCTGGCTTTTCTCTCTTTATATTAATGTAATTTGCAAAATCTAATGTTAGAGAATAACTTTTATAGTGTTTTAACACTTTAAAAATATGTTTTTTATTGTATTTTTAGAGAGGAAGGGAGAGAGAGGGCATGCAGGAGATAGCTGATCAATGTTTCTCTCTCACATTGATGTTTCTATCTCTATCTTCCTTCCCCTCTCTCTCAAAAATATCAATGAAAATATTTTTTTAAAAATATGGTATGACTAACTCCATGTAATTTTTAAATTTATTGACATAATTTATGTACCATACAGTTCACCCTTTTAAAATATACAATTCAGGCCCAACTGGTGTGGCTCAGTGGATTGAGCATTGTCCCATGGACTGAGATGTCCTGGTTTGATTCCGGGTCAGGGCACATGCGCAGGTTGGGGACTTGATCCCCAGTAGGGGGCATGCAGGAGGCAGCCAATTGATGTTTCTCTCTCATATTGATGTTTCTATCTCTCTCCCCTTCCTCTCACTCTAAAAATCCAATAAAAACATATTAAAAATAAAGTATACAATTCAGTTTTTAGTGTAGTCACAGAATTATGTAGCTATCACCACTGTCTAACTTTAAACCATATTCATTATCCCAAAAAGAAGTCATATACCCATTAATAGCCAGTCCCCATTCCTTCCGCTTCCTAGTCTTGCTTCTCCCCAGCCCCGGCAACCAATAATATACCTTCTGGATTTGCCTATTCTGGACATTCCAAGTAAATGAAATCATACGATATGTTGTTGTTTTTTGTGACTGTGACTGGCTTCTTTCACTTAGCATGGTATTTTCTCAGGTTCATTCATCTGGTATCATGAATCAATACTTCATCCATTTTATATTTCATTGTGTAGATATACCAAATTTTGTTTATCCACTTAACAATTGATGGACATTTGAGTTGTTTCCACTTTTTGGCTGTTATATATAACAATGCTATAGAATTTATGTATGGACTTGTGTTTTTGTATCGACCTCTGTTTTTATGTCCCTTGGACATGTATCTAGGAGTGGAACTACTGGGTTATAGGGAACTCCATGTTTAACATTTGAGGGGCTGCTAAACTGTTTTTTAAAGTGCTGCGCTGTTTTACATTCCTATCAACAATTAATGAGGATTTTAGATCTCCATATCCTCACCAACACCTATTATTATGTCTTTTTTATTTTAGCCCTCCTAGAGGATGTTAAGTGGTATATCATTGTAGTTTTGATTTGCATTTCCCTAATTATTAATGATGTTGAACATCTTTTCATATGCTTATTGGCTGTTCATTTATCTTCTTTGAAAAAATTATCTTATTGAAATCTCTTGCCCATTTTTAAATTGGATTATTTGTCTTTTTATTGTTGAGTTGTATGTGTCCTTTATATATTCTGGATACAGTCCCTTGTTATCTATAATATATTACTAAAATATTTTTTATTTTAAAAATAAATAATAGTAATGGTAATAGTAATAGTAATTTTCAAAATATTACTTAAGATTTTCTCCCATTCTGTAGATTTTCTTTTTTTACTTTCTTAATGGTATCCCTTGAAGCACAGAACTTTTTAATTTTTATGAAGTCCAGTTTATCTCTTGTTCTTTTGTTGCTTGTTTTTTAGTGTCATACCTAAGAAATTGTTGCCTAATCTTAGATCATGAAAAATTACTACTATGTTTGTGTTTCTTTCAGCTGAGGATATTTTTTCAATTGCTTTTTAGAGAGAATGGTAGGGAGGGAGTGGAGAGAGTGGTAGGGGAGAGAGAGAGAGAGAGAGAGAGAGAGAGAGAGAGAGAGAAACATCGATGTGAGAGAGACACATCAATTGGTTGCCTCCTGCATGCACCCTGACTGGGGTTGGGGATAGAACCTGCAACCCAGGCAGGTATGTGCCCTTGACCAGGAATCAAACCCACAACCCTTTGGTGCAAGGGCCAACAATCTAACCACTGAGAAACACTGGCCAAGGCTACTCCTATGTTTTCTTTGAAGAGTTTTGTTATAGCCTTAGCTCTGACATTTAGGTCTATCATCACTCCCCCACTCCCAGTTGAATTGGTTTAAGTCCAGGTCATATAGAATTTGGGGTAGAACAAACACTGAAGAGTAGACTTCGGCAGGATTCTCGGCTGGGTTTGCTCTGAGCTCCCAGCTGAGGTAGAAATGGCTGAGTGAGAACTAAAGAGAAGAAGAGCCATGGTATGATTTCATTTTGGTTAACAGAAGTTTATTCTTAAATGTACAACAGGCTCCAAGACAACACTTCATTCTAGCTTATAGGTGGCAACACGTTATGGCAGAGAACTCAGCTGTTTAAACAGGAATGGAATTAAGGATAACCATTGCCTCAGGCACAAAGAACAGCTTAATTTTTTAAAATTTATTCATAATTTTATCCTCACCCAAGAACACTTTTCCATTTTTTGTTCAGATAGAGTGGGAAGGAGAGAGAGAGAGAGAAACATCGACGTGAAAGGGACACATTGAGTGGTTGCCACCCGCACAACCCAACCAGGACTGGGGACAAACTGCAACCGAGGCGCGTGCCCCTAGTGGGAACCGAACCCAGGTCTCTCTGGACCGCAGGCTGACGCTCTAACCACTGAGCCAAACTGGCCAGGGCAGGAACAGTTTAATTTTTGCCAGAAATCTTTTTTTTGTTGTTTTATTTATTTTTTATCCTCACCCGAGGACATTTTTTTGCCATTTTTTGTTCAGATAGAGAGGGAGGGTGAGAGAGGAAGAAAGAGAGAGAGAGAAACATCGGCGTGAAAGGGACACATTGAGTGGCTACCACCTGCATGACCAACCAGGGCCGGGGACAAACTGCAACTGAGGTACATGCCCTTAGCGGGAACTGAACCCGGGTCTCTCTGGACCGCATGCCAACAACGCTCCAACCGCTGAGCCAAACCGGCCAGGGCTTGCCAGAATTCTTAATTCCAAATGTGGAATCTTGCCAGACGTGGAATTTCCTCCCCTCAGTCTTCTCTTTTGTCCTCACCCAAGGACATTTTTCCATTTTTTGTTCAGATAGAGCAGGAGGGAGAGAGAGGAAGAGAGAGAGAGAGAGAAACATCGATGTGAAGGGACACATCGAGTGACTGCCACCCTCACGACCAACCAGGGCCAGGGACAAACTGCAACCGAGGTACGTGCCCTTAGCGGGAACCGAACCCGGGTCTCTCTGTACCGCAGGCCAACCGGCTGAGCCAAACCGGCCAGGGCAGTCTTCTCTTTTGGATCCCTGAGTTTCTTCTGTCCCTCTTTTTGTTTCTGCTTGAATGCCTTACTTTCTTCATCCATTTCCTTGGCCTGCTTCTTGGCCTGTTTCAGGGGCTTAATACCTTCACAGCCAGCCTACAACTCTTTCTATAGACCCTGCCACCAGAAGCAGTTTCCTGTTCCACTCCCTGTACCTGTACCTCTAGCATATGATGACTTTTTAATTAATTTTGGTATACAGTGTTAGGAAGGGGTCCAGCTTCATTCTTTTCTATGTATATATCCAGTTGTTTACCCCCATTTGTTGAAAAGACTATTCTTTCTACATAACTTCTACCTCTTTATGTTGTGAAATCAGGAAACGTGAGTCCTCCAACTTTGTTCTTCTTTTTTAAGATTGCTTTGCCTATTCTGAGTTCCTTGCATTTTTATATGAATTTCAGGGCCAGTTTGTGAGTTGCTCTAAAAAGGCAGCTGGGATTTTGATAGAGGTTACAGTAAAACCTTGATATAACTGACTAATTTGGGCTAATTTTTTGGGCCAGGGGGTGTCTGTTAAAGCCGAGAGTCTGTTCTATACTAAAGTAGGTTTTCTGAATGCATGTGTCAAAAAATTGACAAATTAGTTATTTTACCTGTTTTTACTTATGGAGACACATTTGTGTAATTAAAATTAAGTATGTGTGAAAAGTTTAACTTCATAGAAGCTTTCTTCTCTGTATTACTGTAATTTTAAATTTATACTGAATAGGTATAGTAAATGTATGCATTCACCAGTCACCTAGAGTAAACAAATGCACATGGCCGGGGTGTGGCTTAGTGCACATGGGAACATCCACAGCAAACTGCTGCAGAAAGTCACCCCATATGACAATAGAACCAATTACCGCATGGGTTGTGGTTTAGTCTCATGCTAATCCTTCTCTGAACATTGTTTACGGTGACTCTTGGATTTAAATATGAAGTTGTAGATATGTAATCTTTATTTATGTTGGCAAAATTATTACAGGTTTTTTTCCAAGATATGGCCTACTTGCTAAAATTTCTTAAAAATAACAGTGAATCAATAACAAAAATAAACCTGTTAATTTAATTATAAGTGAATCTTGGTTAAAATCATTTAAAAATTAACAGAGTGTTAATTTTCACATATGACATACCAACCGGAAAGTTTGTCTGTTAAGTCGAGGGCTTGCTGTATGTTGAATCTATAGATCAATTTGGAGAGTGTTGCCATCTTAATAATATTAAATCTTATGAACATGGGATATCTTTATATTGACTTAAATCTTTTTAAATTTATTTCAACAATGTTTTATATTTTTAATTGTACAAGTCCTGCATTTCTTTTGTTAAATTTATTCCTTGGTATTAGTCTAATAGGGTTTTGTGGGGTTTTTTGTTTTTTTGTTTTTGTTTTTAATGTGTGGATTCCTTATGCTTTTCTATATGCAGGATGATGTCATCTGCAAATAAGATAGTTTAACTTCTTTTTCAGTTTGGATGTCTTTCATATTTTTTCTTGCCTAAATTCCCAGGGTAAAATCTCTAATACAGTGTTGAAAAGTGAAAGTGGACAACCTTGTGTTTTTCCTAATCTTAGGGACAAGGCATTCAGCCTTTCACTATTAAGTATTCTGCTTGTTGTGGGTTTTTTGTAGATGTCTTGTATCAAACTGAGGAAGTTCCTTTTCATTTCTAGTTTGTTGAGGGTTTTTAAGTTAAATTAAATTTTATTTTATTTTGTTTTTATAATAAAAAGGTGTTGGATTTTCTCAAATGCCTTTTCTGCTTCTATTGAAGCAATCATGTAGTTTTTGTCTTTTATTCTATTAATATGGTATATTACATTAATTGACTTTTGGATGTTAAATTGATCTTGCATTCTTGCAATAAATTTCACTGGTTATGGCATATAATCCTTTTTATATGTTACTGCATCCGTTTACTAGTATTTTGTTCAGGACTTTTACATCAATATTCATAATTGATCTGCAGTTTTATTTTCTTTTGATATCTTTGTCTGTTTTGGGTATCTGGCTAATACTGGCCTCATTGAATTTAGTTAGGAAGTGTTCCCTCCTCTTCTATTTTTTTAGAAGAGTTTATGAAGAATTGGTATTAATTCTTTAAACATATGGTAATATTCATAAGTAAAGTCCTGGGCCTGGTCTTTTCTTTGTGGGAAGTTTTAAAGTTACTAATTTAATCTCTTTACACATTATAGGTCTATTCAGATTTTCTTTGTGAATCAGTTTCAGAAGTTTGCATCTTCCAATGGATTTGTCCATTTCATGTAGATTAGCTAATTTGTTGGCTTATGGTTATTCATAATACTCCCTTGTAAGTCTTTTCCGTGTAATTGTTAAGAATAAAAGTTTGTTGTCATCATTAAAGATGCTATGAAGATTTAAAAAAAATTTTTTTTTTATCCTCACCTGAGGACTTCTTTTTTAAATTTATCTTCAGATAGAGAGGGAGGGATAAAGGGAGGAAGAGAGAGAGAAAAACGTCAATGTGAGAGAGACACACTGAGTGGCTGCCACCCACATGACCCCATCTGGGGCCAGGGACAAACTGCCACTGAGGTACGTGCCCTTAGCGGGGACCAAACCCAGGATTCTCTGGTCTACACTCTAACCGCTGAGCCAAACCATCCAGGGAATGAAGGTTTTTGTAAATGATGTGGGAAAATGGTCCTGATACCCCCGCTGGTGTGGCTCAGTGGTTGAGCATCGACCCTGCACCAAGAGGTCGCTGGTTCGATTCCTGGTTGTGGGCCTGATCATCAGGGGGGTGGGGGGGCGTGCAGGTGGCGGCCGATCAGTGTTCTCTCTCATTGATGTTTCTATCTCTCCCTCTCACTTCCTCTCTCTCTAAAATCAATAAAGAAAAAAAAATTAAAAAAAGAAAATGGTCCTGACATGGTGTGAAAGGAAATAAAGATATAAAACTGTATTTATAGTTTTTATGATTGAGTTATAAGAGTTCTTTATATATTCTGGATACTAGACCCTTATCAGCTATAGATTTGCAAATATTTTTCTCCCATTCAGAGCATGTCTTTTTACTTTCTTGATAGTGTCCTTTGATTCCACTTTTGTTTTTAAGGTTAATCATTTGTTTATTTAAATAACCTTTACACCTTAATTAAAAGTATAATTGCAGCCCAGCCAGTATGGCTCAGTGGACTGAGTGTCATCCCATGGACTGAGAGGTCCTGTTTGATTCCCACTCAGGGCACATGCCCAGGTTGCAGGCGTGATCCCCAGTGGGAGTGGGGGCGTGCAGGAGGCAGTCGATTCATGTTTCTCTCTCACATCGATGTTTCTCTCTCTCTCTCCCGTCCTCTTTCTCTAAAAAGAAATCAATAAAAACATATTTTTTTTAAAAAGTATTATCTCAGCCCAGGTCTGTTTGGCTGAGCAGTTAGAGCTTCAGCTTGCAGACCGAAGAGTCATGGGTTCAATTCCTGGCCAAGGGCACGTACCTAGGTTACAAATTTGATCTCCGGTCCCAGTTGGAGTTGTGTGGGAGGCACCCAATCAGTGTGGCTCTCTCATACTGATGTTTTTCTCTTTCTCCCTCCCTCCCTTCCACTCTATCTAAAAACAAATCAATGGAAAAATACCCTTGGGTGAGGACTGACAACAACAAAAATATTATCTCATGAAATTGTATTGACTCCTTGTTATGAAATAGTGATCTGGACAGATGAACTCAGGTCAAAGCTTTCTAAGCCACAAACAGTGTAGAAAGGGGGTTGTATGGGTTATAGAAAGTACTTTCTACCTTGGATAGGGATAGACTTTGACAGGAAGACCCCAAATTTGCAGCTCTGAAAGATTTAAAAGCCAACTGCTTTTGTACACAAACCTGGACCAGTGATGTAGTAGCTTCCAAATGCCAAACTTAACAAGAAATGATACTGATGTCTTTCCCCACAAAGATTGTGAGCCTAATGGCAGATTGGTGTCAAGGGTGTTGTCTCCTCCATCTATATCATTATTTCAGATAGTATTAAAATAATCAACACTAATTGAGAAGATGGATTAAGTTTTTTATATAAAAATACCAGAGACTTCAGGGTTAAAAATTAGGTTTAAACAAGATATCCTGCTAAGGGCACACGCATATGAAACTAACTAAAAACAAACGAGAAGCTTACAAGGTGGTAGAATAGAGTATATTGCCAAAGAAAACAAGAGACGGGCTGGACAGTAAATTTTCTACCCAACAGCAATCTCAGTACACACAAATCTGTGCCAACAGAAGGTGGGCTCCTAAATCTACACAATTTCCAAAAAGGACTCACTTTATGATGTCCATCATAGATGTGACTATGAAGAATACCAAATAATGAAGAACTACTCTGAGACACAGAAGATGCTCAGAGGACAAAGAAAGGGGGGATTCTTCCCAAAAAGTATAGCTAGGGCTGCAAGGTGTGCTAATAAAGGAATTTATACCTAAAAAAAAAAGAATTCTAATTTATCTGTGAATATGCGTCTGTGCCTTCTGTTGCTGTTAAGTAAGGAATAAACTACTTTAAACAGACTCTTTGCCCAGAAATAAGTAGAAAAAGAGTCTTGAGTACAGTTCATAAATTCACCTCTTTTTTTCTCTGCAACAGAATGCATGAGTAAAGACTTTGTAATGTACTTTATTCTAGGAAATAAAATGGATAGTTTTCTGTTAGTGATACCCCATTATACTGAATACTAGATATTTTCCTGTTGTACTAGTATTTTACATTCTCTTATAGAAATAAGGCTACTCTGTTGGGTTGTTGCTGGATTTTTTTTTTTTTTTATCCTCACCCGAGGACATTTTTCCATTTTTTGTTCAGGTAGAGTGGGAGGGAGAGAGAGGAACAGAGAGAGAGAGAGAAACATCGATGTGAAAGGAACACGAGTGGCTGCCACCCGCACAACCAACCAGGGCTGGGGACAAACTGCAAACGAGGTACGTGCCCTTAGCGGGAACCGAACCTGGGTCTCTCAGGACCGCAGGCCGATGCTCTAACCGCTGAGCCAAACCGGCCAGGGCTGGATTTTTTTTTTTTTTTTTTTTTTAATGTAAAGATTAAGCAATTGGTGCTCCTCTGCCCTCTGGGACTGAGGGAGTGGTGGTAATAACAGTTCATTATGGCCAAGATGCATGTAGCAACTGATAACAGAAGTGGAAATTGAAACTACATCTCAAATTTGAGGAAAATATGTTTTAAAGCAGTTTCCTTAAGACAACTTTTTTCAGTGGAGGAGGAAAATGAAATCATGAAGAAAGGTTGAAGTAGGTACATAAAGAAAAAACAATTTAAAAATCACAATTTGAGTCATGCAATAATTTATGATTTTCTAGTCACTTTATCTTCCATAGCTGACGGTATGTTTAACTCTATTCATATTTTCATCTTTTGAAGCTTATAGTAGCTGTTGAACAAGAAGAAATTCCCAGACTTCAGGCCCTATATGAGAGAGGCCTACAGAATGGTGTCCAGGGTCTGAGGCTTATCCAGCAAGAGGATATAAAAAAGAAGGAGCCATATTGTAGGGTAAGTGATTCACTAACTCCACACATATGCTCATAGGAACATTTTCATTTAGGGCTCAGTCTTGTGAACATGGAAGCTGAGAGTGAATTTATAGGAGGAAAGAATTCTATAGAAACAGTTAGCTAATCCTATCACCAAAGCAGTGGGGTGTCAGGGCATTTCCACAAACTCTGGACACTTGATTTTTTCTTTCCCTAAGCCGTTATAAGAAACGTCCATCAGGAGAATCAATTTACTACTTTTTAATATTCTATAAGTCAGTTGTTGGTATATCTAATATTAATCACATAATTCTATTTTTTATGTACACATGCATATTAGTGTGTTTGGATTTTGAATGTACAGTTTAAATGATTTTTTTTTACTGTAAATACATGAAGATATCTTTGATTTATCCATGTTGTTACAGATAGCAATATGTCACCTTTTTTATGGCTGAGTAGTGTGGGAGACTTTTTGCATGGCATCCATTTTGTTACAATCTGCTCTGCCATCTCCTGCCCCAAGGCAGTGTCTCTCTGCGTACAGTGTCTCTGCATTCCTCTAGATGATTGTTTACTCTGCTAGCCATTCTTTGCTTAACATTTGTTCCACCTGGGGTATTTACTGGAATTTGCTTCAGGTGGGATACTCATTAACTGTTTCACCTGCTTTTTGCCCTATATATTGTGTGAACTCCCCCTGAATAAATGAGACTTGATCAGAAAAAAAAAAGAAACGTCAAGAGAAAAGGGGACTCTAGTGCACTGCTGGTGGGAATGCAGACTGGTGCAGCCACTATGGAAAACAATATGGTGTTATCTCAAAAAATTAAAAATTGAACTTCCATTTGACCCAGTGATCCCACTTCTAGGAATATACCCTAGGAAGCCTGAAACACCAATCAGGAAGAATATATGTACCCCCATGTTTATAGCAGCACTATTTACAATAGCTAAGATCTGGAAATAGCCCAAGTGTCCATCAGTAGATGAATGGATAAAAAAGCAGTGGTACATATGCACAATGGAGTACTATGCAGCTGTAAGAAAGAAAGATCTCTCATCCTTTGAGACGACATGGAGGGACCTGGAAAGTATTATCCTAAGTGAAACAAGCCAAGCAGAAAAAGACAAATACCACATGATCTCACTTATATACAGAATATAATGAACATAACAGTCTGAGGAATAGGGTAGACCCAGAAACATGGAAGTAGGGCACAGACTGACAACCCTCAGAAGAGGGGGTGGTAGGGGTGGGAAGAGATAAACCACAGAATTTATTTGCATGTACACATAACAAATGGATATGGACAACAAAGCCGGGGACCGGGCAAGGGGGATGGGGAGGAGGGTGCCAATGGGGTAAAAAAGGAGAAACATCTGTAACAAAAATAAAATTTTAAAAAAATAATAAAAATTAAAATTTAAAAAGAGGGGAAAAAAAAGTGGCGAGGAAAAAAAAAAAAAGAAAGAAACGTCCAAACCTGTACGGAATTTTTGTAAAAATTTATTTGAGCCAAACTGACAGCATATGGCAGGGAGCAAGATTGCAAATGCTCTGGAGAATAAGTTTTGCAGTTTCTTTTATGCATTTGAAATTAAGGAGGGAATGTAAAGAAGATTACAGGAAGGTGGGAGAAAGCAAGGTGGGGATTGGATTACAGGATAGTTAGCAAGATTATGTGCTCTCTTGAAGGTGGTTATAGTTTATTTCTGTGGTGTGTTAACCTAAGTGCACAAAAACAATGGACTGGACTTGCTCAGTGTGAAGATAAACCTTTTACTAAAGAAGTGATATATGCCTGGGGCTTAACTATCCACCATAACTGGGCACAGTTAGGAATTTATGATCAGAACACCCTGTGAGGTTACTTTGCATAGAACCCCTTTTTTTGCTCACACCAATGAGAAAAAATACCAGGTTTGAAGAACATCAGCAAAGGCAAGAGGAGGTCTGAAACTATATGACATGATTGGAAAGCACGGAGTAGTAAGGTGTGGTTGGATTACAGGGTGTGTAGGGAAATATAAAAAGTGAGACTAGAAAGGCAGGATTAGACCCGCATAAAGGGCCTGATATTCATGCTAATAACTTTGAAGTTTATCCATTTGGCACAGAAGCCACTGAAAATTTTTAAGGAGAGTGGCTACAGTATCCAATCTGCATTTCAGGAAGATAAGGCTGCCATGAGTATGAAGTGTGGGTTGTAGAGTACCTTGCTTAACCGTGCTGTAGGGAAAAACAGAACTTTCTTTTATTCATGAAAAAGACATGAAGAATAATACTCTGCCTATCATCTTGCTCTGGTAGCCCTTTGGAAGCTGTCAGTCCAACCCCCAATTCCACTGGCTGTTCAAGTGAATGGCTATGTCTCCTGTTCCTTCTTCCCCACCCTTCTATTGACAATATACAACAGCTGGACTCCAAGTACCTGTGTTAAAGAGTCTGACTTTGAATTCACTGCCAGGCAATGCTTATTACTTTTAGTTTAGTCTGAGAGTTTAGGAAAGACTTCTTGGAGGTGAACCCCTACTTAACTAAGTAGTGTAACTTATAAAAGAGGTATGTCCTGCTTTTCTCTGAGGCCTCTGCAGAAGTGATGTACTTTGTATAATGCCACATTATAATTATCAATGCCTATTTAGGGTGGCAATATATAATAGAAAATATAGTCTAGTTATTTCATAAAGGTGTCTTGAGTAAATTCTTCCTTTCTCTCCCATCCTCACCACCACTACCAAGAATGGTGGGCAAAATTTGCATAGTCCAGGATTACTTCTGTTTCTTCCAGGACCTCCAGAGAGAAAAAGTATATTAGGGCAGCTGCAAAGGCCTTCGTGGACTAGATTCTTTCAGCAGAAGATTTAAGTACTCCCAGGGGAGCATCTTGGAAATTTTAAACTGCCTCTGTGACTTTAGAGGATAGCTTTTGACAGCTCTTTTTCTGGGCAGATCCTGCCTGCTTCTTCTGACCTTAAATGTGCTGATTTGTCTGCCTTTTCTTTAATTGGTCAACCACATGTTCATCTGTTCCTCTATCCTCCTGACTGACTTCTAACTCCCAGTGTTCCCTCTTTTGCTTGTCTAGTTATTTTCTAGCCATCTGACTTGCTGTGGCCTCAGATTTCAAGTTCTGACCTGCTAACCTGGACAAGGCATGCCCAGCTCCTGGCTGACAGCTAGCCTGTCCACCAGCCCTGTCTTGGGCCAGAGTATTGGGTTGCTTGCCAGCAGTGACTTGCTCCACCTTTCCCCAACATACATGTATAGGTAGGGCTCATGAGGAGGAGCAAAGCCAAGACTAGAAAGGGAAAGAAAAGAAGGGAGACTTTTTAGAGAAGATCTAGAGTGGGGGTTATGGGGGGTGGATCTAGTATGTTTAAAGACAACCCTCAAAAGTTCATTCATTCAGTAAATGTTTGAGTGCCTTCTGTGTGTCAGGCATTGTGCTGGGTAACAGGAATATAAGATGAATAAGGAGAATATTTGGGATTTCAAAACACTATTGCTATGGAGCATTTTCACAGCACATTTTTATCCTACTGTTATACTTGTTACATAGTTTTACGCTAGGTAAGGAAGTTTTTGTGACTAAACTCTTGGTATAATCCTAATTTAGATTCCAAGGTTATTGTACCCAAAATACTATTTATAGGTTGAAATTGAATTATAGCTATTGCCCTGTGAATTTAGGGATTGTCAGGCCATATAATATCTAATATAAAATCTTACGTGTATCTATATATCAAAATAAAAGGAGTAATTTCCTGCACTTGAGCAAGTGCTCTCATATTCAAGAAGCAGACCATCTGGAAAATGGTGAAGTTATTCAAATGTTGCTTTCAGTTCGTGAAAAGAGATTGTTGGGTGTTTCGTGAGCCTTTACCCTTAGTGTGATCTAGCCATGTGGCAATGTTGGTCAGGGTTGGTTGGCAAAGTCAAAAGCTTTGAAAGGATAAGCAGGTAAATGTATTGGGGTTAGAGGTGGGGCACTGAATACAAGAATACAATATAAAATATTATTTTAAAACCACAACAATGACATGCTGTGCTGGCCAAACAAGAAGATGGCAGCACTTACAAGTCATACTCAGCCTCTGGGCCTTAGTTATCCTGGGAACTAGGCAACCCTCTTAGAGGAGATTGATTGGGAAAACTGGTGTACTCATATACACAGTAACACAAGAGAAAATACTATTACCAAGGATTCCTCAAAGTGTAGTCAGTATTTAGTGTGTGAAATTCTCTTCTTATCCTTTTCTTCAGAATTAGAAAAGGATACATTTATTCTGAAAAATTAAATAAGTATGCTTGTAGCTCATTCATCTATAGAGTTTGAACATACCTTGGCAGAAAGAAAGAAAGAAACAAACAAACAAAAAAACACAACCCAGGCTGTTAATTTCTTATGTTACCTGAAGAGAACATTTGAATTAACCATATGTGATCTCCATTCAATATTGAAAATTGAGTCTGCAGCAAATTATTATTATTTTTTATTAATTAATTTTTGTTACAGATGTTTCTCCTTTTTCCCCCACTGATTCCCCCTCCCCCTCCCTCCCTGCCCTGTCCCCAGCTTTGTTGTCCATGTCCATTGTTCATGCATACATGCATATAAGTTCTGTGGTTCATCTCTCCCCCACCACCTCCTCTTCTGGGGATTGTCAGTCTGTACCCCACTTTCACATCTCTGGGACTACCCCATTCCTCAGACTGTTATGTTCATTATATTCCACAAATAAGTGAGATTCTGCAGCAAATTAAATCAAATATATGAACAATTCTGAGTTCTCACTGAGTGTGTATGACACATGATCCACTACTGGGAAAATTTAAAACATAATTGTTTAGCCCTGGCCAGTTTGGCTCAGTATTTAGAGGGTTGGCCCTTGGTTCAAAGGGTCGTGAGTTTGATTCCCGGTCAAGGGCACATACCTGGGTTGCAGGTTCGATCCCTAGCCCTGGTTGGGGTTGTGTGGGAGGCAACCAATCAATGTGTCTCTCTCACATCAATTTTTCTTCTCTCTCTCTCCCTCCCTCCCTTCCACTCTATCAAAAATCAATGGAAAAATATCCTTGGGTGAGGATTAACAAAAATAAAAAATTGTTTAGTGATACAGAATTTGACTCAGTCAGCTATGACTCAGAATCAGATAGGATGAGTAATGAATTAAACTGAGAAACTCATTGTAGCAGCTGGAAGAGCCAGGCAAAATGAACTCCTTTAAGGAGGAGAATTACTTTCTGATTATAGAGATTTTCTTATTTAACTAGTAATATTTCTTATGTCTATTAAACATACATACAAGGTAGGAAAAATGTAGGTTTACAGTTATAAGTACATGAAACATGGAGTTTATTTTTGTATGCTTTTTTTTTTTATCCTCACCCGAGGACATTTTTGCATTTATCTTCAAATAGAGCAGGAGGGAGAGAGGGAGGAACAGAGAGAGAAACATTGACGCGAGACAGACACATCGACTGGTTGCCACCCACATGACCCCAACCCGGGCTGGGGACAAACTGCAACGGAGGCATGTGCCCTTAGCGGGAACCAAACCCAGGTCTCTCTGGTCCGCAGGCCAACGCTCTAATTGCTGAGCCAAACCGGCCTCGGCTCTTATATGTATTCTTAATTATTGTATTATTTTCCATACAAACAGTTGTAAACCTACCTTTGCCCCACCCTATATACTCAAGTTCAAATTCAGGCACTATTTTATTTTTCTTTAAAAAATATCAGGTTTTCTTTTTCCCTAAGAAAGCATAATGTGTGTTACCCACCAAAACAAGCATTAAAAATATCCAGCACAAAATAAAACTTATTGAACAGACTATTCTCAGTGACTTTTAATTGTATTATCTTGACTTTTTCATAATCCTGTCCCAGGGTCTAATGGCTATTGATTGCCCATATACTGGCATCGTGGACTATCGTCAGGTGGCTTTATCATTTGCCCAGGATTTCCAAGATGCAGGTGGCTCTGTCTTGACCAATTTTGAGGTAAAAGATATTGAAATGGCTAGAGAAAGTCCTTCAAGATGTGAAGATGGTAAGCCATTTGTATCATTTCTTTTGAATATTCATTTGCATTGACTTCTAAACAAATTTGGGACTGTTTTTGGTTGGGGTAGTGCTGGCAGAGGTCCAACAGGAGCTGGGCAGAACTGGAGGCAGGTGCAGAGGGTAAGATTGGATGTAGGCAAACTGGGGCTTTCAGTGATTCTCACGTGGATAGAACTGGGCACTGATCAGACACTTCTGACTGGTACTAACACCTGAGGTGCCAAGGCTATTTATATAAATTATCCCCCAAACACTTCCTTATCCTCTAGGTTAGAGTCAGAATCCCTTGGGGATGTTTGTTTAAAATGCAAACTTTAGCATCACCCAGTCTTACTGAATCAGACTGTCTGAAGATAGCACATCACTTAGCCATTCTGAACTACTCCCTTCAGGGACTTTTTTTTCCCAAATTAAATGAATCGGTTTGTAATTTTTTAATTTGCTTTTGGGAAATTTGAATGAGGGAAAAGGTAGTACTGAGTTTATTCTTCCTTGAAAGTTTTTTTTTTTTTTAATCTTTATTGTTGGATATAAAATGTATTACAGATGTTCCACATTTTTCCCCATTGACCCCCTCCTCCCCACTCCCGCCCCCCTCCCACCTTTTCCCACACTATTGTCTGTGCCCACTGGTTATGTATATGTTATTTGGTTTATTTCCCCCCCCCCCAACCCCTTTCCCTTTGAGGTTTGTCAGTCTAGCAATGAATTTGTGCTTCTTAATCCCTTCACCTTTTTCACCCATTCCCCCAACCCCCCTCCCAACTGGCAACCAACAAAATGTTCTCTGTATCTATGAGAATGTTTCTGATCTACCTGTTCATTTTGTTTGTAGATTCCATTGTTGATAGATATGCATTCATTGCCATTTTGTTTGTTCATACATTTTATCTTTTTCTTCAAAAAGACCCTTCATCATTTCATATAATAATGGTTTGGTAGTGATGAACTCCTTTAACTTTTTCTTGTCTAAGAAAGTTTTTATATGTCCATCGATTCTAAATGACAGCTTTGCAGGATAGAGTAATTTTGGTTGTAGGTTCTTGGTTTTCATCACTCTGAATATTTCTTGCCACTCCCTTCTGGCCTGCAAAGTTTCTTTTGAGAAATCAGCTGACAGCCTAATGGGAACTCCCTTGTAGGTAACTAGCTGCCTTTCTCTTGCTGCTTTTAATATTCTCTCTTTGGCCCTTTAAGGAGCTGCCTGGGGTTCCAGCCGCTTCAGCCTCCCTGAGCCTCAGTTCCTGCTGGTTTTTCCAGCCAGAAGTTATGGGGACTTGTCTTCCTGGCACTGGAACCCTGAGCGGGGCACCTCGTGTGGGACGGGTATCCCTCAGTCCTCAGGAAGAACCTTCCCAGCCGTGGGAACCTTTTGCATTTTGATGATGATGTGTCTTGGTGTGGGCCTCTTGGGGTTCATCTTGTTTGGGACTCTCTGTGCTTCCTGGACTTGTATGTCTGTTTCCTTCACCAAGTTAGGAAAGTTTTCTGCCATTATTGTTTCAAACAGGTTTTCGAGTTCTTGTTCTCTCTCTTCTCCTTCTGGTACCCCCAAGATGCGAATGTTGGCACGCTTGAAGTTGTCCCAGAGGCTCCTTACACTATCCTCATTTTTTTGGATTCTTTTTTCTTTTTGCTGTTCTGATTGGGCGTTTTTTGCTTCCTTATATTCCAAATTGATGGTTTACTCCTTGGATTTACGTACTCTATTATTGAAGCTGTGTAAATTATTCTTTATTTCAGTTAATGCCTTCTTCAATTCTGACTGTGTATCCATGATTTCTAACTGGTCCTTTTTTATGCTCTTGAGGCCCTCCCTAAGTTCACTGAGGTTCTCACTAAGTTCATTGAGCATCCTTATAAGCAGTATTTTGAACTCAGCATCTGTTAGGTTGCTTATCTCCATTTCGCTTAGTTCTTTTCTTGGGGTTTTGTTCTGTTCTTTCATTTGGGACCTGTTTCTTTGTCTCCTCATTTTGGCTGCCTCCCTGTGTTTGTTTCAGTGTATTACTTAATGAGAGGTATGGGGCTCGCTGAGACCAGATGCTGCTCGTTTGAAAGAATTTAGGAAAAACCTGAAGCAGGATCCAAGACCGGCCAATCCTATGGTTAAGCAAGTGGCAACAGCTTGGGTGGGCTTGAAAGTTGGGTAGGGCGGGGCGGGGCCTCAGGGAGTCAACAGGGCGGGGCTACCAGTGTGAGCCAGGTTGCTGGAGTCCCAGATATGTCGACTGTCTGCCGCCCCCGGAAGGGCTCACCAAAGGAACAAAGGCCTCTTACAGCACGTTTGTCCCAGAGAAAGCCCCCTCTCCAGCCCTCGCTCCAGTGCCAAACAGCTCAGTTCTTCCCTGTGTGTCTCTGGTGCCCGTGGAGCTGCCTTCCCTCCAAGCTTAGAGGGAGAGAGTCTGATAAGTCTGTGCGCGGGCCCTTTAAGGAGCTGCCTGGGGTTCCAGCCGCTTCAGCCTCCCTGAGCCTCAGTTCCTGCTGGTTTTTCCAGCCAGAAGTTATGGGGACTTGTCTTCCTGGCACTGGAACCCTGAGCGGGGCACCTCGTGTGGGACGGGTATCCCTCAGTCCTCAGGAAGGACCTTCCCAGCCGTGGGAGCCTCCTGATTTTTATCCACCACACGTGGGTGTGGGACCAGCCAGTTGCGCTGCCGCCGCAGCCGCCACCACGCCTCTGCCCCTCCTACCAGTCTGGATGTGGCTGCTGCTTTAATTTCGTAGTTGTAGGACTTCCATTCAGCTTGATTTCAGGCGGTTTTGAATGATGGTTGTTCTGTAGTTTAGTTGTAACTTTGATGTGGTTGTGGGAGGACGCAATACCGTGTTTACCTATGCTACCATCTTGACTGGAAGTCGAAAGTTTGTTTTTTTTTTAAGGAGATCCTAAGCTATATGAATCATTCTCCCAAGTGTCCTACTAAATTCTAAGATAATGAACAAAATTGTTAAATGATTAATATTGTTACAGGTAGCATAATTCATCAAATGCATTTATGGTACAAGTAGATCATATTCTTTACCTGTTGTACATATGCTTTATAAGACTTTGAGATCCCTTGTATCTGATTGGAAACTAATTTTATAAATACTTTATTATTGGAAATATTTGGGTTTTAGTAACTCTTGCTTCTCTTCACAACCTAGAATTTACAAAGATTCAGTAACCAACATTTGGACAATAAGTGTCATAGCATTAGTTCTGTGGGAAAATGCATACTAATTTATGATGATCCATTTTATAGTATAGTTTCTAGGTTTGTAATTCAGAGAAAAGCTAGAACTGCCTGTTTTGGAGCTGAAGTGGGGAAAAGTTGATAAGCATAGATTAAATGAGTTTATATAAAATAATCTAAAAAGACATGCCAGCGTTTTCTGTATTGTCAAATATGAACTAATTTAATCTTGTTACTTGGTAAAAGCTTCAGAAGAAATCTGGGAAGTAATCGTGGTTGTGACAGAAGAAACTCATTTAAATTTGTTAACTAGTATATTTCAAATACTGTAGGCCCTTTTTTACTAAAAACAAGTCTTTCACTAATTTCTTCCTTTTTTTTAGGAATGAAATATCCAATTGTTATAAGGAATACAAAGGTAAAGATTCTTAAGCAAAACTACTTCCATCTATTTTATCTACTTTCATCCCTCTCCTTTTATATCTTATTTTATTGATTTGAGAGAGAGGAAGGGGGGGTGAGAGAGAGAGAATGAATGAATGAATGAATGAGAGACATTTGATGTGAGAGAGAAGCATTGATTGGTTGCCGCAGGTGCCCCGACCCCAAATCGGTCCCATGGACCAGGAATCGAACTCTCCACTTTCTGATGTACTGGATGATGCTCAACTAACAGAGGCAACTGGTAGGGCCTCTCTCTTTTCTTAAAAAGTTGAATTAACCACAGTGCTGTATTTTATGTCACTGAATGACATTTGTCTAATGTAAAATTATTCTGATAGAAATTCTTTGAGAGCAATGTAACAGTTTTCATGCTAAAAAGGATTTCAACTTGGAAATGTATTCTTAGTGATAGTGCTGGCAAAGAATAGGATTATAAGTACTTGCAGTGTTTAATTTTAAGGCAAAACTGATAAATATATTGTTTTTCTATCTGTTTATCAACTCTCTGCTAATGAGAAAACTTAGGGGGGCGGGCACAGGTTGTACAGAGGGGGAGATGCACTGCTTTCCTTCATCTTCCCACAATCTAAAACAAGAACTAGTGAATGGCATAGTAGTATTGCATTCACTGTGTGTACACTGAATGATCAGAGTTCAGTCAGGAAAGCAGAGTCATTAATGAATGTAGTAGGATTTATTATAGGAATTAGGCCTTACACAATTGTGAAAGCATCCGACGAAGCCAAGGTTGAGAAGGAGAGTCAGTAAATCAGAGGCGTATCCAACCAGTCTGAGAAGCCAAGTGTATCCAGCTGTTGAAGTGGAACTGCAAATGAGAAGCTCATGAGGAGATCTGGGGGAGCTCTTGTCCGTGTTGTCTATCCCCAGCAGTAGGCTAGGGCAGTGGTTGTTCAGTAGGATCAGTACATGGGAAGCAGAGCTACAATTCACTTGGCAGTGGTGTTTGTCACCACCTGGGACTAGAAGGACCCTTAGAGAATAGTGGCTTCTGCCTGTCAGATCCTAGGCAATTCCTGTTTTGGTCAGCTCTAAGTTGGAACAGGGAAGGGGGAGTCTGTCAAGCATAGTTCCCAGTTTAACCAAATTGACACAGTATAAACCCCCACAGTTCATCCCTTTTCAATTTGCCATCCACTCACACCCCTTTTAACCACATTAATTTCCAAATAAAGACAGTAGTAAAGTCATGTTTCCACCTACAAGGTTCAACTGTCTTTCATACAACTGAAGACATGCTTACTACCTTGCTTACTACCATAACAGAATAGCACAGGCTTAAACAACGGAAGTTTATTTCGTCACATTGCTGGAGGCTAGAAGTCTAAAATCAAGGTGCCATCAGGGTCGGTTTCTGGTGAGAGCTCTCTTGTCTTGTAGATGGCTGCCTTCTCACTGTGTCCTCACATAGTCTCTTCTCTGCATGCTCATGTGGTGAGAGGGAGAGGAAGAGGGAGAGATGGAGAGAGAGAATGTGAGAATATGAAAATGCGAGCACACGTTTTTTGTGTCTCTTTCTCTCATAAGAACGCTAGTCCTATCAGATTATAGGGCTTCACTCTTGTGACCCCATTTAACCTTAAATGCCTCCCTAAAGACTCTATCTCCAAATTAGTTCCATTGGGAGGTAAGGCTTTAACATATGAATTTGGGGGGGAAGGGGAACACAATTCATTTTATAACAATGAGGAAAAAGAAGGAATTGGGTAATTATAGACATGTATTTATTTCACAATAACAAAGAAATATTTACTACCCTGGCTGATTTGACTCAACCGTTAGAGCGTCGGCTTGCAGACCGAAGAGTTGTGAGTTCAATTCCGGTCAAGAGCATGTACCTCAGTTGTGCTTCATTCCCTGGCCCTGATTGAGGTCCTGTGGGAGGCAACCAACTGATGTGTCTCTTTCTCTCTCTCTCTTTCTCTCTCTCTCCCCCTCCTACTCTGACTGAAAATAAATGGAAAAATATCCTCGGGTGAGGGTTAAAAAAAAAAAGAAATAATTACTAAATTTCTCATAACTAGTACATTCTTCATTTATGTCACCAATCATGTGGTCATAACTGATATTTATAATTTCCTTCTTCCACTATCCATTCCATAGTCCCTTGGTCCTTGGTAAGCATCTCTGCTGGTCAGTTCCTAGTTTGGTGGTGTAATTCAAACTTTTATTCCTGAAATGTCTGTCATTAGCAGCCCTGCCTGTTTTGTGTTGTAGTGGTTTCTATTAATTTTCATAACATTACATGAGGATACTAAGAGATGGTCCAGGAGACCAATATTCCAGGTGTACTCTTCTTTATCATCCCCAAGCTCTTTGTGTGGTAGCAACTCTATTTCTCCTTGTGATTCAGGATCAGTTACCCCCATTCAGTACAGTAATCTCTGCCTGTTCATTCACTGTCATGAGGAACCCAAAGTGGTCAGGTGTGACAGTATCAACTTCTAGCATAATGGTACCATTGCTTATTCTCTAATGAAAGCATTTCTCCCTTGGGACTAAGACTTCTAAACCATTAGAGCCCAAAGCTGTGGAGCTAGGAAGCAGAAATGTGGATTAGGATCAGAAACTAGTGGATTATTGTAAGGAGCTACTCCCATTTCTACCTCTTGGTTTCCAGACCTGTGAATCCTGGCTATGGGAGAAACACCACATATTAGTCACTGATTTAGAGCATATAGAACATCCTGGAAGATACTGCCCCAGCCCTGCAGGGTGTTGCTAACCGGCTAGTGCTGTTATTAAATCTTCAAGAGTCCTTTCCACGTTGTCACCCAGCAGCTTCAGGATGGTGGGGGAATGATAAAATCAGTGAATTCCACAAGCATGAGCCTATTGTTATACTTCATTTACTGTAAAATAGGCTCACTGACCAGAAGTAATGCTTCTGGGTAAAATACCATAATGTTGAATAAGATGTCCTGTAAGTTCACAGATGGTGTTTCCACGGGCAGGGAAGACAAATCTATATCCAGATTAATTGTCTATTCCAGTGAGTACTAAGTGCTGCCCCCCTCCCCTTTTTTAAATTGAAGTGGTCCAGGGATCATGTCAGTGGCCCTATTGACCTCTGCTGTTGGGAGATTGAGCATTCAGCAGTGGCTATCGTGAGTGAGTCCCTGTTGCTGAGCCCACATATCACCTCCATCCTTGCTGCTGTAATCATTTAATTTGTGAAGCCTCTGGGTAAGGACAGGGATGGCTGGGGAAAGAGGCTAACTAATGTTCACAGAGCAGGTCATTTTGTCTACTAATTATTAAAATCTTCCTCTGCCCCAGTTACTCTTCAGTGAGCACTCATAGGGAACTTAAATATCGTTATCCTCTGAGCCTGTTTGGAGAGATTCATTCACGTACCTCTTGTCCAGAACTCCTTTTCCTGATCATCCTACCAAACCATTAGTCATTGAACATGAATCTGTGTAGGTAGGTCCATACTTCTAGCCATATCTCTTTCTAGGTGAGATAAACAACCAGTATGGTATTCAAAGTTCTGCCTGCTGGGAGCACTTCCCCTTTACCACAGTCCTTCAGGGCCACTCCCAAGTGGGGCTCTGGTAAGGCCACTCTTTACTTTCATGCAGAACCAGAATATTGTGCAGAACCATTTGTAAACCAGGCCTCTATTTTTTCTTCCTTGGCCAACTGATGATAGAGAACCTCTAATGGGGCCACAGGGGCAAGTTGAGAGGGGGGAGGTAATTTAGTAGGAGTAGGGGTTGTGGGAATTTGAGCAACTTGCCTCTGCAACTTATTTATGTCTGCAGGACCTATACAACCCTCATCTTGTATATTCTAAGTCCTCTTGATGGCAGAGTGCTGCAGTGCACACCCAATTTTGTGGCCTGGTGAGTCAGACAATACCCTCTTTTTTTAAAATACTCACCTGAGGATATTTTTCCATTTATCTTCCAACAGAGTGGGAGGGAGGAAAAGGGGGAAAGAGAGAGAGAGGGAGAGGGAGAGAGAGAGAGAGAGAGACATCGATGTGAGAGAGACACATTGATTGGTTGCCTCCCGCATGACCCCAACCAGGGCCAGGGACCCAACTGCAACCAAGGTACATGCCCTTAACCGAAATTGAACCCACAGCTCTTTGGTCTGCAGGTTGATGCTCCAACCACTGAGCCAAACTGGCCAGGGCCAGACAATACCCTCTTAATAATGGGTAGCTCACATGGTAACTTGGTGGCCTGTGGTCAAGTGTTGAGTCGAAGTCAGAAGCACTTTCTCAAAAGAAGAATAGTTATCTGCAGAGGATGGTATAACTTTCCTCTAAAATCCTAAAGTTCGGTGCTCTGATTTTGCTACAGGGGCCTACCAAAGTCTCCATAAAACATCCCTATCTGCCACAGACACTTTGATTACTGACAGATCTGCTGGCAGAACAACCAGGGTCTCCAATCAAAGAAGGATTAAAAGTCTGTTTCTGTCCCTACCCTCATCTGAGGGATATTTTCACTAAAGTACGGCATCATATGATGGAAGATGTGCAGGGGCCTGTGGAATACCAGTGGATATATATTTCACCCATAGTTTCTATAGTTATTGCCTTTTGTTTTGGCATTTTCCTTTAGTATAGTTAAGTAATAATTTAAAATTTTGAGTTAATTTATCAAGTTGAACATCTGTGCTTTTATAAGGTTAAAAGAAATGGAATTTTAAAAACAAACTTTATGGAGAGGATTTGGAAACTAAAATTTATAGATTGCATATAGGAGAAAAGTCTGTTTCACTTATGAAATAGCAATAGAGATGCATAGTTTAATTTTAAAGAAATATATTTTTGAACAAATGTATCATTCAGTGGTTACCTAAATTGACATTTTAGATTTGAAATTAATGTATTACTGAATTTAATTATTGTTTCATATATACCATAAAATGCTTTCAGAGACCTGTAACAGTTTTATGAATTATTTCTTCCTTTGGAACTGTTCCTTGAGTTTTTTTCAAGAGAACTTTTAGGTTATTAGCATGCTGATACCATTCTACAGATTCTCTTGTCATTACATTTATCATATGCTTATCTACATTTTATGTTCTAAGAATAAAATAATTGCTGAATTTTCAATTAAGAACAGTAGATTTATATCACTAACAATATTTCTTGTACTTCTGTTATATAACTCTAGATGAACAGGAAAGATACTAACCAATTTAGAAGAAGTCCTTTTTTGTTGTTGTTGACATATCCCTTTGACTTCAAGTGTATTAAAACTATCATGGTTTAGTCAAGCTAATTTGAACTCGCTGCAGAGAAATTTCATCTGATTTTTGTCAGAAGTGTGACCTGAATAACTATTGAAAAGAAACTTACCTTTGTAGGTAGGCAAAAATAGGATACATACAAACATAGAATAAGTTTGAATCACTATGGGCTGAAAAGAAAGAGAATATTGAGACAGATGAGAACTCCAAGGCTTCAGAAACAGGTCATCTGGGGAGGAAATCTAAAAACAAGAAATGACCTAAAGCAAGGAGCTGCTAGCTGTGTACTGTGTAAGAAGTAAAGGGATGGGAATTGGAGTGTGATGGTGAATCAGGGTTGAATGAAATTATTTAGGAAGTAGGGTGGTAAATTGGCTAACCCTAGTAGGGTTAATCTAAAAACATGTAGAAGATAATCCCAAAATAAAATTAATGGGGAAATACAACAGCCTAAGATTAGCAGTCTCCTACTTGTTAAAGCAAACCTTGACTGTAGTGTGTGTTCTCAGTAAATGTGGATTGAATGACTGGGGTTTTGAAAGTAGCCTCAGTTTGCAAAGTAGATATTGATCAGGAAGGAGAAATCGGTTGTAGTGTGAAGCAACCTGAGAGTAACAGGATAATTACTCATAGGTAAGATAGGAGAGGCTGTCTGAAATATAGAGGAGGCCAAATTGGTGGGGGACATCTAAATGAAATTTACTTCTTCATGCAACAAATAGTTAAGAAGTTCCATGGTCTTAGTAGAGAGACAGAGAGAGAGAGAGAGAGAGAGAGAGAGAGAGAGAGAGAGAATGTCTTGTTAAGTATCCTCTCTAGGTAGGTCAACCATTGAATCCCTAACCTAATTTAATTTAAAGTAGGAAATTTAAGGTGACATCCTTTCGCATGCCACTACCCTAAGTTTCTAGGTGCCACCTAAATAAATACTGAAGAATTTATTTTGCTGATACTTGTATTTAATTTCTTTTTTTAAAGGGAATAAAAAGAATTTAGTCCCTTTCTGTATCCTTATTGTTTCTTCTATCATGTTTTTCTGCCTTAACCTATTCTTCTCCAGTCTGCTTCTTACATATCACTGTGCTCTTGCACTAGGGGGAGGAAGTTCAATGTCAGTATGTTGTGACATGTGCAGGACTTTACTCAGACCGTATTTCCGAGTTGAGTGGCTGTAATCCTGATCCTCGAATTGTACCATTCCGGGGAGATTACCTGCTCTTGAAGCCAGAAAAATGCTATCTTGTGAAAGGAAATATTTATCCGGTAGGTATAATGCTTTTGCTTTCTCATTCTTCTCAAGATGACTATGGGCAGAAAGGGAATGAAACAAAAACTTATATCTGGGTCAGAACTAAGAGATATTTTGAAGGATTTTTTGTACAAGCATTTTACCTTTTTTCTCTTATGGTTAAATTCCTGTGTCTTTATTCTCATATCTTAGTCATTAATTTATACTTAATTGCCCAAAAGTACGTGTCTCCACAAAGCATGAATGCACCATGGGAAGGGTTATCAAGAAAGGACCCAATTCTTTTCCTGTCTGGTGGAAGGAGCACTCATAAGCGAACTTTCCCTTTTTGCATGCCCAGATACCCAACCCTCTTTCTCAGTTCATTACCTATAAGTGCAAAAAAGGGGTGGTGGTCACTCTATAGTTTCATGATGTAGAAGACAGAGCCCTTCAAGAAGAGTTCATTCTGTACGGAACTACTAGGTTGAACCAGATGAAATTACCAATATTCAGCTACTTAACATTTTTGACTTTGCCAAAACATCCATTTCATGTGCTCCAACCCAATACACTCCACTTTACAAAAACCTGTGCTATGAATGTGTGTGTTTTTATGGCACCTCTGATTTTACTTCCCAGCCATGTACCTTCCTAGTTGGGGGTGGGGTGGGAGGGTGGGGTGGGGAATAATCTGATGTAGGACAGTTCTTTCTTTTTTTCTTTACTCAGAAAGAGGAATAGATGGGAGTGTTTATTAGTGTCAATAGCATCAGTGTTTCCTATGTAGCATTTCCAGGCAGAACCATGTGAGTAGAAAGTACATCTCAGTGTACATCTCAGTACAGATAAAAATAATACAAATTAAATGCATGGGAAGAAAGTGATTTATACTATCATTTGAATATTTGCATGCATAATAAAATGCTGTATGAAATAGGGCTAACAGTTCTTTGCTGTATTAAATCCATAGGTCCCAGATAGCCGGTTTCCTTTCCTAGGAGTTCACTTTACACCAAGGATGGATGGTAGTATTTGGCTAGGGCCTAATGCAGTTCTTGCCTTTAAACGAGAGGGCTACAAACCCTTTGACTTCAGTGCCGGAGACATTATGGATGTAGTAACCAAGAGGTAACTTTATTTACTTTAAAAAATGATTTTATGTGTTTATATTTTTAGTGTGGAAAATTTTATCTTTCTTGATATTCTATTTATTGGGTAAATCCTTGATCTTTTTCATTAATCCAAATTAAAATTTTTGTGGAATAAACATAATGTTTTAACTACTTCAGGGAAATTCTTATGCTCCAGGGTGAAGACTTGGTTAAAAAGAACAAGATTAAGATCCAGTCACATAGCTGACAATCCAAACCTTGTTTTGCTAACCTTCTAGTTGTGTTAGGAAAAAAAAAAAAAAGTTTCTCTCAAAATCAGTAGATGGCTTACTTTGATAAAGTGATTTCAAGCCCGTCATCATCATTTTGAAAACCACTGGAGAAACTGCTGATAACCACAGTTGTTTCCTTTCGTGGAAAATTAACAATGCGTTGACTTGGGGCACAGAATAATCTTTACTATGTTGTAAGAACTCAAAGAGGTGGGTTTGTTTTTGTTGTTTTTCTTTTAGCAGTGTTGCTCTCCAGAGGGTTTCACATCAAAATTATTAGAAAGCTTTTTAAGCTACACAAGAGTTTCACCTTCTACAGATTCTGAAACAGAAGGTTTGTGATGGAATTTTCTAGCATGTGTGCTTTTGAAAAAATATATATACATAGTCTCCACAGAGTCTCACTTGAGAATCACTACTAGAGTATCTCACTTCTGGATGGTTAAAAAAAAAAGTAGGGGAAATATCCATCTCACTTATTTATTTTTTTTTAATCCTCACTGGAAGATATTTTTCTATTTATCTTCAGGTAGAGTGTGAGGGAGGGAGTGAGAGAGAGAAACATCAATGTGAAAGAGACACATTGACTGGTTGCCTCCTGAACAACCCCAGTCAGGGTCAGGGACTGAACCACAACCAAAGTACATGCCCTTAACCAGAATCAAACCTACAGCTCTTTGGTCCAAGGGCCAATGCTCTAACTGCTGAGCCAAACTGGCCAGGGCTATAGCCCTGATGTAAAAATCTGCTAATGCCTCTTCAGTATATTTTGAAAGCATGTAACATCTGTATCAGATCATCTTTCTTTTGGCAGGCTTTATAGACTCTTAGTTTGAAACCAGCATTCCTTGGTAATTTGGTTTGAAACGTGTTTACCTTTAGACTTGGGAGGGTATTCCTTTGATGAAGTTTTCTTCTTATATTGGCCGAAAGTTGATTTTCTTTTTAATTTATTTGTAATTTTAATCCTCACCTGAGGACATTTTTCCATTGATTTTTTTTTTTTTTTTTTTAGATAGAGTGGGACAGAGGGAAGGAAAGGGAGAGGGGAAGAGAGAGGGAGAGAGACAGAGAAAGAGAAACATCAATTGGTTGTCTCCTGCACAACCCCATCTGGACTGGGGATTGAACCCAAGACTCTTTGATCTGCAGGCCAATGCGCTAACCACTGAACCAAACTAGCCAGGGCTTATTTTCTTTTAATATGTGGCTTTTCTTACTCTGCCTAGATGTCTGTGATGCCCCCTGCCTAAATCTAATAGTTGTAAAGTCATTTAATAGTAATAAAGGATTTCTTTCTCTCATAAAGATTCTATTTTCTTTGCTTTCAGTGGCTTGATTAAACTGGTGTCCCAGCATTTCTTCTATGGAGTCAATGAAATGTATAAAGCCTGTTTTCTCAGTGCAACAGTGAAGCACCTTCAAAAACTTATCCCTGAAATTACTATCAGTGATATACGTAGGTAAGGAAAAGCCATAAGGATTGTAAACATAGTCACGACTTAGGCGAAGTTGGGAGGTGGGTCTGACTTGGTGATTTGTTGGTACCCTTTCAGTCAGTGTGTCCTCTGAATCTTTGTGTGCACTCTCTTTCCCAACAAGTTCTTGTGTTCCTTTTGCAGTGTATGAATTGGGCATTGCTGCATCATGGCCCTTGGTGCTTGAACTACATCTACCATTTATAATTATCTAGACTACCTCACAGAATATAGCTGAAATCTCCATTGCAGCTATATTGATATGCCACCTTCGCCTTTGTGTCTATCACTCATGATAAAAACATCTTGTCTGAAATTAAAAAAAAAACCTCACCTGAGGATATTTCTCCATTTATCTTCAGTCAGAATGGGAAGGAGGGAAGGAGGTGGGGGGAGAGGGAGAAAGAGAGAGAGAGAGAGAAACATCGATGTGAGAGAGACACATTGATTGGTTGCCTCCTGCACAATCCCAACCAGAGCTGGGGACTGAACCCCAAATGAGGCACCTGCCCCATGACTGGAATCAAACACAGGACTTATTGATCCGTGGACCAATGCTCTAACCAGCTAGGGCTTGTCTGAAAAAATTTTTAAATATTTTTTATTGATTTTCAGAGAGAGAGGAAGGAAAAGGGAGAGAGAAAAACATTGATGTGAGGGCGAAACATCAATCAGCTGCCTCCTGCACACCCCCTACTGGGGATCAAGCCCACAACTCAGGCGTGTTGGCACACAGGACCATGCCCAACCAACTGAGACACACCAGCCAGGGCTCGTCCGAAATTTTAAAAACATCCGTGGCCTCTGCCTCTTGTCATTCCATAGCGATTTGACTTTAATTCTGTATAAGATCAGTGATCACCATACTAACTAACTAATTAGGTAATAAACACATGAAAACATTCAGTTTTAATTGATCCTTAAAACCTTTGAGAAACACACTCCTATACTTGGCATCTTACCTTGTTTCTTCTCTACTGCTTGCTTTTTTGGGGGGGAGGGGTCCTACTCTACTCAGGAACTGTACTCTTAGGATGGAAAGTGGGAAGTAGTGCGGTAACCATCAATCTGAGTCCTTATCAGAGGGGCAACCAGGAAGTGAGGCAAAGGAAGGATTATTTTTAAAAATTTTTTACCTTAAAGGTAAAGGCTTTCTTGACTTGATCTGTAAATTGTCCTAAATACTACCCAAGCTTATTTCCTTTTCTCTTTGGTGATATTGTTAGGGTGTTCACCTTTTCCCCTAAACAAGCCATTTATTAAGCCTAATCAGGAGTATACTTTGAGGTACTCCCCCTCCACGAATCCATTCTGTGAATCTCTAGAGAACTAAATGTCTGTCACCTCAGTAACAACTGCTGAATTTGCCTGGTGTAAAATGTCAGCAGCTTGACTCTGTATTTAGGAAGAGAACAATCATCATGTCAGCTGTCTCCCTTAGGGGAGCGTCCTGGTCTAAATCTGACTCTAATATATCATTCTCAGACTAGCCTCTTTGAATCCTTAGAAGAGCTATCAAAACCCAGCTAATGTTTTTACTCTTATCTCTCTCACCCTTCTACCTATCTTCTGAAATGTAAGGGATAAAAATATCTAGGCTTTATTTTCTTTCACTCACCTATAAATAAGGCATTTTATGTTTTCAGTGACCTACTTTAGCAAACTTATGTTTTATATCTGAAAATAGGTTGGTCAAATTTGGTGTCTGTTACTGCTATTAATATTTCTTGGAAACTACAATAGGTGGGGATAACAAGTTCTGTGTATATATAGTTGCAGTGAATTCACTGCTCATATTCTATTATCTCCCTTTTGTAGAAGCCTGAGGAAATCTCTTTAGACCAGTGGATTTAATATGATAGAACTGGACTGGAGCTTGTGGGTTTTGGTGAACACTCCTCTGTCTCTAAGTGTAAGGGTGTTGATTTCAGTTACCAGTTTCATTAGCATGTAGTAGAGAAGGGTACACAGCACTCTAGGCAGTGCATTTGGGGACGAGTCCAACCCATTCACAGATGAGTTTCTCCTTGGAGATAGAAAAGCTGAACCCATTTAGCAATTCCATTTACTCCTTCCCTTTTATTCCATTCCTATAACTATTAAATGTGGGAAATCATCAGTAACAAAAAGAAAGTTGTAGAAGATACATTTGATTCCATTTATGTACATTTAAACAACACCATATATTATTTATGGATTGCAAAATAAAAACAAATATAGTGATAAAAACCTAATTCAAAAGAATGGTTACCACTGGGGTGAGAAGGGAATGGGATCCAAAGTGTTCCACAGGGGCTATTATCATAACTAAAATGCTCTATTTCTTAAACTGTTTGATAAGAAAACAGGTGTTCATTATATTATTCTCTTGTCATATGCATACAACATTAAATAATTAAAAAATCAATAGACTTTCCCACATTTTGAAATCCATTTCTTGCCTATCTTGCCACCCACTGTAGTAAAACCATAAATGCTCTATTATTAATATTGAGACAGAAACATATTAAGCAGTTCTAGATAGTGAAAGAAAATTGAAGCAGCACTTATAGCAGGATATTTAGCTTGGGATGTTCTTAAATTGCAGTAAACATCCAGCTTGACTTCTCATTGCCTAGCCAGAGCATCTTGGACAGTAACCTACTGGTGAACATTAGATTGGAATGTAAAGTTATAATTTGTCAAATATATGCATTAGGCATACTAACTTCTCATAATTAAATCATGATCTCTAAGGTTCTTAATTTTAGCTCTAAAGTCCTTTAATTTGTTCTGTGATTAATTTTGACATAGTTATCTAACAGCATTTTGTATCTAAGCATTGCAAGGATATAAATGATGAAGACATATAAAAGAGGATGAAGATCTCTTTTCCCACTCTTCACTTTGAAAATTTTTTATTTGGGGAATTCTAGAGTAAATTTTTAGATAAGATGTTTTCATCCTGAGTGATAGCTAGAGACTATACTGTGTCATGGTGAAATGCAAAGCTGGAAGCCAAATATTCCTACAATAAAGGTGATCTAGATTGGGGTTCGTCAGTCTTGGAATTAATGACGTTTTGGGCCAAATAAGTCTTTGTTGTGGGACACTGTCCAGTTCATTGTAGGTGGTTTAGCAGCATTCCTGACCTCTACTGACTAGATGCCAAAGTATTTCCCTAATACTTCCCATTGCCTGCAGACATTGCAAAATATCTCTAAGGGGCAAAATCTCCCTTGGTTGAGAACCATTAATCTAGGGGATTTGCTAACCTTTACACTACAAAATACCAAGAGAGTCTGGAGAAAATATAATACAAATCCTTTGAAATACATAAGCCAAGAGTGCAAGAAAGTAAGGGGCATCCCAGGATCAAAAACAATGGGGAAGTAGAAAACTCAAATACTGAAAGGAATTGGTGCTGATGCTGTCCTGGAGAGGTGTGTGTGTGGGGGGGGGGGGGGGGGGGGGGGGGGCGTGGATTTGCTGATTTTTATGTAAATATAACTGTTTTTGTTTGTTTTTTACTTCATATACTTTTATTCTTTTTTAAAAAATAATTTAATTTGTTACAGAAGTTTGTCCTTTTCCCCTCAGACACCCTCCTCCCTATCTTGTGTCGCCCGCCCCCCCAAGCATTGTCGTCTATGTCCACTAGTTACGCATACATGCATATAAGTTCTTTGGTTTATCTCATCCCTTCCCTCCACCCCCACTTCTGAAGTTTGTGAGTCTGAACCATAGTAAGTTTTAATTTTAATTGCTTTGTGATGTACTTATAGTAAAATAATGCAGATCTTAAGTGCTCAGTGAATTTTGACAATTATATAAACTCGTATCAACCACAAAAAACAAGATATAAAACATTAGGGACTTATATTTTAATTACCACGCAAGTGCTGGAAAAGAGGTCTTGGATCTGTAAAAGGTAAAAAATTGGAACTGAAATCCCTGTGTTCCAGGGACTCTTGAAGGGCCACACCCTCAGTGAAAAGGAAGTCTTTTAAAAAATTTCCCCTTGGCATTGAGAAGTGTTAAGGAATTATGTCTGCCCTGGTCTTGAGGGAAGTGGGGTGGGGGTGGGGGGGTAGAGTGGGTAGAATCTCCTAAAAATCTAGAACCCTGGACCTCTCCTCATAAGTGCTTGGAGTTTGAATTCATACCACTCAGCTTGATCTAGGAACCTTATGCTGAGAAACTAATCTAAAAAGTAAATTCAAATTTGTTTAGATCCTGCTTAAATTAACTATTTCTTCCTCTCACTTCCTCTCTCACTTTAAACGAGAGAGAGAGAGAGAGAGAGAGAGAGAGAGAGAGAGAGAGAGAAAACAAGGGTAATTTGACCACAGCCGAATATTAATGATACTAAGCAGTAATTAGTTTATTATAATTATTTTTAAGAATCCTCTTAAAGGAAATATACATTGAAGTGCAACAATGTACCATCTGGGATTTGCTTTAAAATATTCCAGTGGAGAGAGGTGGACAATGAGTGGGTATATAGATAAAACAAGATTAGCTGTGTTGATTATTATTGAATCTGGGTAACACATACATGGGAGTTCACTATACAGTTCATTCTATTTTTGTACATGTTTAAAACATTCAATTAAAAATAAAAGTGTTTCCAGGATGGTGATACACCCGGAGCACCCGATAGAAGCAAATGTAAAACTTCTATGGAGGGACAAAACTCAGTCTAACCCCCATGTTATTTCCCCAGGTAAAGTCCTGCTGAACAGAAAATCACCATCAAAAGTTACAAAACACTATAAGTAGAGTAAGCAGATAGAATAAATACCAGAATTAGAACTCTCACAACTTTGGGTAATAGTAATATTAGAAACCATAAAGTAAAAATATGCTTCAGTGAATTAAAAACAAAAAGGAATGGAAAACATGAATAAGACTAAAATAAAACAGAAAAAACCTTATGTAAATTTAGAAACCAACTAATTAGAACTTCTAGAAATGAAAAATACAGTTCTTAAATTTTAAAACTC